TTTTTTTTTTTTTTTTAATTTATTTATTTTGGTCCTCTCTTCAGTGGTGGTAGGAGGATGATGAACTGATGCACAGGTTGAAATATACTTTACATATACTGCACAGTCTAATTTGTAATCTCCTCTTTCACCCTTTAAAATTTAGGCTTCCTCAGGTTTTTTACCAGTGTCCTCAGATACTGTCCAGAATGTGTCACAATATTGTTTTGTACTTGTTCTGCCTTGTCCAGACTAACTGATGGGAAGAGGTGATGCTGCTTTCTGCTGCTTCTGCACAACTTTGTGTTGAGTGACTCAGCAGTGCCAGCGTTACTACAGGAAAAACCTAGAAAATATGAAACTGTTGCCTTTCTTGCTTCCTTATTCCTAACTGCTTACAGAAAATCTAGAAGGGATTCACTATTTAGGAACATCAGACTAAAAGAAGAAGGGATAAGAGTTGATTTTGGAAACAAGTGGAGAACTAGGAAGAATTTAAATTAGTTTGCTAATAACATGTTCTCCTAATTTTTCCACTTCTGAATTATGTACGTAATAATTCACAATATCTCAACTGGATTGTCATTGTTTGACCCAAGATAAATCTGAGATGATGGACTGTGCTTGCTTTGTATGTATTGAATCTCACATGGCGAAGAGTGTTGATACATCTTATGTTCATTAAGGCAGAGTTAGGAACCCTAGAGACAGAGTTGAGGTGCATAGAAGCATATTGGCTCATGTTCTTGGATCTTGCTCAATAATATTTGTTTCCTTTTGGAACCACTGAAAGTTCATGTTACTGAATACATCACTTTATAGTTCTGTTTCTCAAGCATTATCTTCTCTTGCAGGCCAGACCCAGGATCCAGTCAGATCAGACTGTGCTTGCAGGTTTTGAAAGCTGTCCAGAAGTTGGCACATGAGTCGACAATTATGGCAAGAGAAACCTGGGAGGTTTTGTTATTATTTCTTCTTCAGATCAATGACACTCTTCTAGCAGCTCCAACTGTGCAAGGTTCATGTTCATCTTCCATTTGTTTCAGTTACTGAAAAAACTTCTGGCTCTTCTTGACATTCAGCTGCCAGCAGGTTGGGGGAACCCAGCAGGATGGGGAACCCATTAAAAGCTCTTAGGAGCTACCAAAACACAACAGCTCACTCCTAATTCTGCCCCATTTTCTAAAATAAAGCATTGCCAGGAAAGTCTGAATGATTTGGAGCTGAGTTTTCCTGAAAGTATTTTTGCAGGACAGTGACTTTATACAGGAACAGTTTGGTATGCACTGTTTCAGACAATGTTGTTCCCTGTTTGTTTCACTGAAACCCCTTTGTTTTGCTGTTCAGCCTGCCTAGTGCTAAATATTAGTGTCAGTTTTACCTATTTAAAAAAAAAGACGTCAATATCGACATAGTGCAATAGAGGAGTGCCTAAGATTGGTGGATTCCTCCTGTCCCATATTGCACACATGTGGCTGGGCTTTATCTGTTGTACTTGGTCCTGCAGAAAGACTAATTTACTGTAGGAAGCAATCAAAATCACTCTTAAAAACTATGAAAAAACAAAAAGGGCTTAAACTTTATGCACTTTAACCAAAACTTCTTTGGGGAGATATTTGAAGTTATTTAGATGGAACACTAACTGAAGGTGTGCTTGGTTTCTGTTGTAAGGTGGCATTGCTGAGAATCTGGCCGAGAAGTTAATTGGCGTGCTGTTTGAGGTATGGTTACTCGCTTGTACGCGGTGCTTTCCAACACCTCCTTACTGGAAAACTGCCAAAGAGATGGTGGCTAACTGGCGACATCATCCTGCAGTAGTTGAGCAGTGGAGCAAGGTCATTTGTGCCCTTACTTCCAGGTAGGAGTAATCCCGTGGAAATAAATGCATGTATGGGGATAATCATGGTTATGTGTTTTGGAGTTGGTTTTTTGTGGAATGTGCAGCAATCCAAAAGTGAGTAAGCAATACAAAGTGAGAGCTCTTGCTCCATCCTTGGGCTGTGTGTATTCCTTTGTTCTGCAAGGGAAGATCTGAGTTGATTCTCTCTGTTCTGGTGTAAGCTTGGCACCTCTGTGACTTTTAGCACTTTGCAGCATGTGTATGTATTAGTCTCCATCATTGTGACTCTTCATCATGCGCCCTGAGGAATGACTCAAGAATATTAGTGTAGCATTGTGTGTGTGTGTGACCATCAAAATTATTAGGTGCTTGTTAGAGCTCATGCTGCTGGGTTTGAGAGGACTCTTGAACTCTGCTTGGGCCCTGTGGAGCTGAAACTGGCACTTGTGCCCTGGCAGTCAGGATGTGATAGGCCAGAGGCAGACCACAGGCTCCCTGCTCTAGAGAGTAGGGAAGAAGAGCTGTACTGTATCTTGCTGGGTGTAGGAACAGTGAGGATTATACATGATAGAATTGTTTAGGTTGGAAAAGACCTCTAAGATCATCAAGTCCAACCATACCCCCCAGCACTGTCAAGCCCACCACTAACCCATGTTCCCAAGCTCCACATTCATAGGTCTTTTAATACCCTTTGACTCCACCACTGCCCTGGGTAACCTGTGCCAGTGCCTGACAGCCTTTTCCATCTAATCTAAATGTCCCCTGGTACAGCTTTAGGCCATTTCCCCATGTCCTGTCCCTTGATACCTGGGAGATGAGGCCAACCCTCTGGTGGCTCCAACCTCCTTTTATGTAGTTGTAGAGAATGAGAAAGTCCCCTCTGAGTATCCTTTTCTCCAGGCTGAGCCCTCCCAGCTCTCTCAGCTGCTCCTGGTGCTCCAGCCCTGTTCCACACCATGGCTTGTACAGGCCCTTGGCCTCTTACCCACCTGGACACACAAGGTTCTTGTTTAGCCTCTGTTGATCAGTATCCCCAGGGCCTTTCCTACTGGGCACTTTCCAGCCACTCTGCCCTCAGTCTGTGGCTCTGGGGGTGTTGTGACCCAGGGACAGGACCCATCACTTTGCCTTGTTGAACCTCGTGGAGTGGTTTCAGCCCCTTGATCCAGCCTGCCCCAATCCTCTAGAGTCCTTTTCTTTCCTTGAGCAGGTCAGCTCCTGCCCACCTCACTGTCACCTGCAAACTGACTGATGGAACACTCACATCTGTGAGTTGCAGGAGAGCTTCAGCTGTAGTAGAAGGCTCTGAACAGTGAGGAGAGTCTCAGTACCCTTCATATTGAGGTCTTTTTGGTATGAAGTCTTTGTGGGACAAATCTTAGACTCTTGGAGGAAAGAACTGAATTAATTACTTGTAAGAGGGTCTGCTTACTTCTGTGGAAGTTCAAAGATATGTTAAAATTGCTGCATTTTGAAATATTCAATAGTGTCTTTTTCTGCAAGGGTTTATTATAACTTTGAAAACTTTTGCTTTGAATTACCTGTCAAAATGGATAGATTTTTCCAGGTTATGCAGCTATTTGTTAAACCCCTTGGAAATTAAGCTGCAATACGAGTTCTGTGTATTTCCCACGCTGTTTCTTAAGCTATTTTTAGATTGTTAGATGTAGCATTACATAACGGAAAATACTTTATGATTCACTGATCTGAAAAGAACAGCTCTGTCTCAAAACATGTGTTGGTGTTCTGCACCACACACTGTGGCTACACTTTTTCTCCCACTGTTGACTAACAGTTTTGGTTCTGTTGGTGCACAGGATTCTGCAGGGTTTCTGGAATGTTTTAGTCTGTGCTCAGTAATGTTGGTTTATGCCTGATACTTGGAAAGTTAGGCTCCTCTGAGGCTGGTTTTAAGTTCAGTGGTATTTTAAGCTGCATTTTTAATACTTCAATGAAGCTCCAGCTTCAAACAATTAAAATGTTTTATTAAACAGTTCTGTGAATAGGGTTACTAGCAATAAGCTGAGCGTAAATGTTTCAAATTAAAACCATATGGAAAATTGTATCTTGAAATCTGTACACATATGCAGTGTTAATTTATGTCCTTGGCTAGGATTTTTAGCAGGATGAAAGTAGAGTTTTAATTGTGTTGCCATACCAATAGATAGTACTTTAACCCTCTCTAAAATGCTTTAAGTCTATTTTAACTGTCTTGAATGTGTGGCGTAAAACTTATGTCTGTTTTAAGTCATCCTGGGAAATGTCCCATATGCCATTAAAGATTTGGTCATGCTCTTTGAAAAACTGGTTTCTTGCTGTCACAGGGAGAACTGAAGCAGTGCATTGTGTTGCCAGGCAGTGGTGTGAGGTTGAGCCAGGCTCTTTTGGGTCTTTGAGAGCCAGGTAATTCCTTAGCAAAAACATACCATGGGTCATGTCTCTGGGCATTAAATGTAGGTGGACACGGGGCTGGAGAGCATGTGCAGCCTGGTACAGATGTGTGTATTTCTGGTGTTAAGGAAACTTTCTGACCATTCCCAAGACTCTCAGGCAGTCACCCTTCCACCAGCAGCGACTTTAACTGCTGGGACTGCAGCCCCTTTGCAGCAGCAGCTCCAGTGAGCCGAGGAGTGCCCTGCTTGGCTCCCTGCACTCCCCACTCTCACAGGCAGACCGGCTTTCCTAACCAATTGGACCCCAGGTGTAGCATAGGAGTCTCAGATGTCTTGTTCCATAAAGCCCTTTATTCCTGTCACAGAAACACAGAAACAGCTTGAGCTGGTGCTTCCAAGGAGCAGCCTCAACAAAAGACTCCTGGGCTTTTATCCCCTCACAGTCCAAGCTCATGCAAGTCTCTTCCTCCCTAGTCCTCAGCTCTTGCAGTGTCTAAGCACCTGGCTGGGCTACAGGCCCAGTGCCCTTTGTTATGCACAGGGGCAGCTGTTTGAGCTCAATCTGCAGCTGTCACTGGAGCTGCACCACCAGCTCCTGCACTGAATGGATTCCTCTTCATCCTTGAATCTCGAGAAGACCTTATATTCTAAAGCTCTTTTGCTTTTCTGTCCAGGTTAGGTACTGTAAATAGGTTGCGATTTCAGGCACTTGTGTTAATTGGCTGCAGTTTACTGTAGTGCCCACTGCTGGAAGAAGTGGAAGATGGAAATTCAGCCTGTTTGACTCTTGGTTTAGGAGTCAGCCACAGGCTACTTTTCTCCTCCTCTTCTAGTTGTAATGACTTTATAAAACTATATGGCTTTATAAGTGAGGAAGGACAAGTGGAACATTTCCTGACCATTGCAAGGAAGTTAGCATAGGGAAAGACAAACATTTCTGGGAATGGATATTGAGAAGGTACAATGCAGATCTCTTCCGTTCCTTTAGAAAACACCAAGATTGTTGATCAGGGAAACGGAGCTGTAGGAACTGTAATTTGATGAAGCTGGCTATGAAGCAGGGGTCAGATTAGACAGCAAGAGCTCAGTGAATATCACTGGTGACTCTTCAGGTAGTTACACTCTTCTAGGGAATGATCTCCATTTGTCCAAGCATTGTCCTCATGGCATTGGATCACTGGTTTGCTCTTTGCTGGTCTGTAGATCCCAGCCTCTGGCAGATGTGGTGCATCTGTTTTGAAGAACTCACTAAACTGGGCTACAAGTCCTGTGGTGCTGCTTGTAAGTCAACAGTGAAGGCTGCTCAGGGTGCTGGGATACAGTTGTAAGTCATCAGTCACAAGCTGGAATTTAGAACTGCAACCTAATATGACTTGCTAGTGTCATTGAAAGCTTGAGCTAAAGAACTAGGAGGATAAGGGCTTGAATTCTTATAAAAAAAAATATATATTTCCCTCTTCCTTCACATGTAACAATCTGTCAGATGTGCATGTGTCTGTGATAAGTAGCGACCCCTCTGGCTAAGTGATGGGAGAGCTGCTGAGGGGTCTTGTGACTTAACTCTTGGGTTTGACTGGAGCTTTAGGCAGGCTCCAGGTATGAACCATCCAAGGCTGTAAGAGGACTGAGTGATGGTATAAAACGGAGATCTCTAGGAAATCTTGGGATGTTGCATTGTTGCCTGTGGACTCACTTTTGGGGCTTAAATGCACTGTTAAATTTTGGAGTGTGAGCTGAGGGACAGGTCTGTCTGACTTGCTTTCTAGGTTGCTGCGTTTTACATATGGACCTTCATTTCCTCCGTTCAAAATTCCTGATGAAGATGCTGGTCTGATTCCTCTTGAAATGGATAATGAGTGTGTTGCACAAACATGGTTTCGCTTTTTACATATGCTGAGGTATTGTAATTACATCCATCCATTATTCCTGTTCTTGCATCAGCTCTATACATTTGCATGACGAATGAAACATTTCTCTGGAGATTGCCAAGATGAAGCACCTAAATAGAATAAAATGAGAGCATTGTTGTACCACTGCCATGCAGCAGCTCAGGGCAGCCTGTGAGCAATGTTGTTTCTGACTCTTCAAAAACATAAATTGGATCAGTTAATTAAAAACTATTTTAGCTAGTCGGCATTTTGGAAGATCTGAAAAACAGGAGTTCAATAGAATTTTGTTTCTCCGAGATAACGAACAGGAAAAGTTGAACAGTAGTTCTGAGAGATGCCTATGACTTCCATTTATTCTCCAGGTTAAATTTGGCCTACAATTTATGTTTTTAAATGGGTGTGTGTTTATTTATTTTTATGAAGAAATCGATACAGGTAATTTTACCATACATGTTAATCTTTCCTAAATGCACAGCTGAACCAAATGATGTTTTGTTTTAAAGACATTTGAACGTGGCATTACATTAATGCTCTCAATGGCCAGAATATTAAACAATTGATACAAAATACTATTTAATAGTTAAAGCTAGATAAACATTAGACTGTTTAAAATTTACTTCTTAACTAACTAAAAACCCCTTTTTCCTAACTTGTAGTACTAATGTCACAAACTCTACTGTTCAAATTTGGGGTTTACAAATGCACTGTTTCAGGATTTGAGTCAGTCAGGAAAAATTGTTTGAACTTTCACAATCTACTCCCCTTCTTGTCCCTGTATGATAGCATTTAATTAGTTTAACAATATAAACAACTTTTAACTAAGTTCAAAAGACCTCATAAGTAAGTAATATTACTGCAATAGTTAGCCTAGCAAATGTGTGCTCTGGTTTGTTTTATGTTACTAAAATTGTTCAGTGTGTTTTGGTAACGTTTGAAATGAAGACAGTTATATCTACCAACCCAGGAAATGAAAATTGCCTTCCTGTGATGGAGTAACAGCTAAAATGTATTGATGTTGGATGCTGGTTTGTGGTGTTATTTAAATGCCTTAAACTATTGCATCTTTAAGTGTTTTTAAAAATCTAAACAGCTGTTCTTTAACTGACTAACATATATTTTGCTCTTTTTGTATGCAGTAATCCTGTGGATTTGAGTAACCCAGCCATTATTAGCTCTACCCCCAAATTTCAGGAGCAGTTTCTGAATGTGAGTGGGATGACTCAAGAACTGAATCAGTACCCCTGCCTTAAACATCTGCCTCAAATATTCTTTCGTGCCATGCGTGGAATCAGCTGTTTAGTGGATGCATTCCTAGGTAATGCTTTTTGTCTTACCCGTGGATAGCTAGGAATATTAACTTAATCATTATTTTGTCATCTTTAAATCTGTTTTCTCCATAAATACAGCAATAACAATTTATCATTTGCAAGTATATCCTGGAATTGATGAGGAGGTGACTTCAGATCACTTCTAAAAAAATATGTATACACAACAGTAACATTTGAATGCATGAAGTTGTAGATGGCCTTAGTTTCAAATGCAAAATGAATAAAGCAGAAATATAAAATAAAACAAAACCAGGGATCTCTTTCCCAAACAAGGCTTCTTTTCTCTTTCCTTCTAATCACCAATGCAAGTGCTATGCTTTAGCACGTTGTGAGCGCTCACCACCGTGTTTCTAATCTCTGTGGCAATTGCTGTTGTTCCTGTTTTATAAGGTGTTGAATTTGGACTGTCATCTTGATCTTTGTGAGTTCCCCTTACTTACTCTTAGTGGGTGACTACTACTGCTGAGTAGGAAAGTAGTGTTGCTTTGTGTTTGCAGATAACTGAGTAACTCTGGTTGGTCGGTTTTAAGTAACAGGATGGAGTACCTGAAATTTAAAGCGTTATACTTAATATGCTTCAGACTTACTGCAAGTTCAGCATGCTATTGTGAACTTGGAAGAGCAGCCTGTCTCTAGCTGCTTTTCTGTTAAATGTGTGCAAACAAATGTCATGTGCCATAAGCGTGAGCTGATGTGAGATTGCAGGAGACTCGAGTGGATATATAAACGGTTTTAGAAGAAAACCGGCCAGTGGAATGAGACCATCAGCCTGGAGAAGAGCAGGCTCTATGGGCACAGAGGGCAGTTAGACTGGATGTTGGGAAGGAATTCTTCCCTGTGAGGGTTGGTGAGGCCCTGGCACAGGTTGCCCTAGCCCAGAGGAGCTGTGGCTGCCCCTGTATCCCTGCAAGTGTACAAGGGCAGGTTGGACTGGACTTGGAAGAGTGTGGTCTAGTGGAAAGTGTCCCTGCCCATGGCTAGGATGGAGTGGATGGTCTTTTAAGGTCCCTTTGAACCCAAATTATTCTGTATTTTTATGAATCAGACATGTAATACTTCTGAAGATCTTGTAGCAAGATCGAGTACCCAGAGTCATAATAGCCCACCTGAAGAGCGGAGACAGAGACTACAATGCATTGGGGCATAGGAGATTTCTTAGTGAAATTAAATTCAGGCTGTAGGTATGGATTGGAAGAGTGTTCTCAGGCAGACTTGAGAGCTGCAGAAAGCTCTTCAGTGAAGGCTGATGGGAGAGCTCATTACCTTCTGTCACAAGTGCTATAATATTAGGTTTTATCTTGTTCTCCCTGGTACCTACATTATGTGTTTGGCAAAATACTGTGTCCTCTTTTCCAGCCAAATATACCAAAACAATAGGTTTCATAGTGCATGCTCTGCCTGGGTGTAACACTGATTTAGCAGGAGAAAATTGTTCTGTAATATGTTAGGAAAAGTACTTGGGTGCTTTAATTAACACGGTCAAAAAAAAAAAATCTATGTCAAATTCTCAAGCACACTGCAGTTCCCCATTTCATTTTTCAAATGGGGCATTCATTAAAATCGGCAGACGTGGTGTTTGTCAGTTCAAGTTTTGCAGATGTTATTTCTGATTCTGATAGGGAAGAGCTCTGTACACCATGAATTTCCCTGAAGGTGGATAAAAGCTGGTCTAGTGTCCTGCTGCTGCCCGAAAAATTATAGCTTGCTCTGCTTTCTTACTCTTCCTTAGTATTTGACTGTTCAGCAGCTGATTCAGCTCAAACCGAGCAGAAAGTTGTGTGGTGAATGGGTTTCATCTTAATTTAGTGAGCTAAGGTGTCTTGTAAGGGCCAGACATCTTAGAGATGTCTCAGAAAAAGGTGTGGGAGTTATGACTGGGCAAGTAAGACAAAGGTGAGTGGCATTTGCATTTTGGCAGAAGTGTGCTGTTAAATTGTCTGGCAAGTGAACCTTGTTCTTTTCTCTCTGCCTGCTTCTAGACTGGTTCCTCCCATCTGCCATTTCCCAGACCCTTAAGGTGTAGGGTCCTCTGTTTTTTAATCAATTGCTTATCTGATATAATACTGTTTTCATTTGCTTATGCTTTTATTTCTGCTAATAGTAAAATAGGAGAGGTGTTTTTGTTGCTACTGCTGTTTTGGGGAACACAGGGAGGCATGGCTATTGATCAAAGGCTCCTATGCTTACTAATGGCTTGCTCTGTGAGCCCATGGAATTCTTGCTGAAAGGCTGCTTTATTCCTGGCCTTACAGGCATTTCCCGACCCCGATCAGACAGTGCACCACCCACGCCAGTGAACAGGCTGAGCATGCCCCAGAACACTGCTACCAACACCACTCCACCCCACAACAGGAGGCATCGGGCAGTGACTGTGAACAAAGTGACCATGAAAACCAGCACTGTAAGATTTCATACTCTGCATTTGAGTAGCTGAGCCTTTGGATCATTTCCTCAGTTAGAGGAAGTAATTTCCTTGATTCTAGGAACTGATCTGTTCTTCTGTTCAAACAGGTAACTACTGCACATGCTTCAAAAGTGCAGCACCAACCCTCCTCTACTTCTCCACTCTCTAGCCCAAACCAGACAAGCTCTGAGCCTCGGCCCCTTCCAGCTCCTCGCAGGCCAAAGGTTAACAGCATCTTGAACCTCTTTGGATCGTGGTTGTTTGATGCAGCATTTGTTCACTGTAAACTTCATAATGGAATAAACAGAGACAGCAGCATGACTGGTAAATATTGCAAAAAATATACGTACATTTTTTTTACTTGTTCTATTGACATTTCCTACCTGCAAGATTAACACATGCATAACCCCAAAAAAGTAAAACCTGAAGTGCTGTATTGTAGTTAATCCCTTGAGCTGAGCCAGCATCTGCTACTAGCTGAGCAGCTGTTTGGGGATTTCAAATTTAAAAAAAGCCTACTTTTTGCTATTAAATACTCCCTTGTTCTAACAAGGGAGATTATGATATTGGGGAAAATGCTGTTAAGTGAAGGAAATCATATGGTAGGAGTCCACTTCTTAGTTTGAAATCTGCTTGAGTATCTATGATTAATAGCAACTATTTATATCAACTCCTTAGTATTTGAAAAATTGTCCTACATCTCTCCATGTAGTGCACAAAGTGGTACCTCTTGGTTTTGTAGAGTGTTACGGAAACAGGAGTCCTTAAAATAGCTAGCGAAGTTGCTCCCTATCAGTTATGGTTGCTGTGTGTTTCCCTTAATGACTTGGTATCTTTGTTGTCTACAGCCCTTAACTGCCAAACTTATTTTGTCTCCTGTGCTTTGTTTAGTTGCAGAGGTTAGATGTTTTGAGATATGGCAGAATTAGTGCTCTGCTCAGAGAGGTTTTTTAGGTCTCATCTTACTTTTGGTGATAATCTTCAGAATAGAATAATCTTTCTCACTCCTTGCATTTTTACTGTTCTTTGTGTATTTTGAATGTCTGCTAACTTTTCCAAGAGATCTATCAATCAATCAGTCAGTAATAAGAAAAATAGGGGAAAGACATTTGTTGTGGCAAGTTGAATGTATAGTGGGACTTGACAGCAGCAGTTTAACTGCTGATCTTTCTTGTTTATTGTGACAAGTTTCTGTGTGAAAGCTTAGGATTTGAGATCTTCTAAAGGTGTTTTTAGGTATGTAGCACATTGTTTTTGCAAGTGTTCTTTGTGGGTTTCTGTGGTAGGAATTTGGAATCTCTTCGTAAGAGGCCTATGACTCATGACTAGAGAAACAGCTGAGCTTAGGAAGGAGCAAGGCATCCTTTGAGGGTGTGTTCGATTGCATATGCATTTAGTGTATTACTGCATTTAATGCTTTTCAGATTGATTAGATCATTTTAATTTTGACATAACCTGCTTCTTGAGTGATTTTAATGAAATGCTTAACCTGTAGAGGAAGGATGTTAGCTGAGATGGTGCTTATGCAAAAGCATCAGCTGCAAACAGGTGTTGTTAAGCTGGCAGAAGTACACAGTCATCCAAAATCAAAAAGTTTAATTTCCTTAAAGGGGTTCCAGGGCCTTCTGTTCATACATTCAATCACCTAACACCAATCAGAAAATTGTTGTGTCACTAGCCTTACAGGGATATTTACCTGCTTTCTGAAAACTAGAGACAGCTGTTTGGAACTGAGTTGATTCTGTTCCTCCTCTATGCTCTTCCGAGCTGTTTGTAGTGAGAGCAATCCTTGCACATCGTGTGATCTGCTGTGTATTAGCAGCAGTGGTTCTGAGACAATGATGCTGGTGGACTTCCATGAACTTGGCTGTGTCATGTCCTGATTTTTTTTTTAGTGATTTGGAAGACAGAATTAACTTATGGGAATTAAGTCAAGAGTCTGATGCCCTTGCAGGGTGTTGTTACTGCTATGTCAGGTCACTGGTCACGGTAGTGCCAAGGTGGGCTGGCTGAAGGAGAGAGAGCTGAGTATGGACCCCTGCTTCTGAAACGCTGTAGAGAAGACCCAAACTCTGCCTGATTTATCCTTTTGTTCAGCCTCTGCTTAAGATGGGAAAATGAGCAGTATATGTAAAGGGCCAGGCCTCTGGAATTTCTGTTGACTTGAAGCATCAGTGTCTTTTGAATGAGTTTTAAATCCAAATCGCAAAGTTTTTATTCTGGGAATCTGACCTATGATGCTTGATGCCTCCAAGTGGAATCATTTCCTCTTTGAAGAGCGTAAGGCAGAAGGTGCTATGCTGGCCGTTGAGGTGGGCCAGGAGGGGTCTGTATTAGGGCCCCCCGTCACAGAAGTGGGCCCCATGAGTAACAATCAGATCTGCACTTTGTGCCCATGCAGCTGCTCCTGCTGCCCATTATGGATATGGCTTGAAGGAGAAGGGCCAGCAGAGAAGGGATGGTTAGCTGCCATAGTCCCTACCCTTAAGAAAGATGTGCAACAGAAATCTGATGCTTTACAGCTCAGTTTGACTATTTCTGTTTGTCTTGGTCTATCTGCTATCCTTTGTAGCCATGATACTTCAGCCACTAGCTGGAATATTCTTGCTATATCTAGCACTGCTGTTGATAATCTTAGCTTCAAGAAGCACTATTATTTTTATGGGTGTTTTAAAAGTTTTGATTGAGGAGTGTCTCCACTTAAAATCAGCTTTGCCATGTAGTATTGTCTTCCACTGGCCCACACATGCTATTTTTCTTTAGGTCTGAAACTGCAGCTGTGTAAGATCTCAGCAGCTTTAAATCCTTCTAATACTTGCTTTGTTTCAATGCCATGCAGTTAAGAATTCCTTCTCTTTTGGCTGTCTGATAATGTCTTCTTTGTTTCACTGCTGGCTGGAGGGCTGAGGACCACTTCACAAAAGTACTACAACTTGCTCCTTGGTGCTGTAGAAACCCCTGTGACCTGGGACACTTCTGGAGTGCTGTGTTTTCGAGTGTGTGGTTCCCTCTCCTCTTCCGTCGTGTGGCAGGCTCAGTGAGAATCCCCATGATGTGATTACGAAAGAGATTCATGAGCTCACTGCAGTGCCTACCAGGGCCTCTGTGGATGAGTCGTGGTCTCAAGCTCTAGTTCAGAATTTAGTCTGGTTCTTTTAAACAAATCCTGCTGACACACAGCCAAGCACATTGTCTTTGTCCCATCTTACAGCACACATTTTTGATGAGCTCAAGAGCACTTGATCAAGGCTGATGTGAATGAGTACCCCTCTACCCATCCTTTTTTCCTTGTCCCAGGATCTCATGTTTTACCATTGGAACTCTTTAACCTCCAGAAAAGAAGTAATGAAAAATGATGGGTAGAAAAATATCAAGCTTTTTGTAAGTCTTGAGATGAAAAACTGTAAATAGATAAAGGTAAATGAACTTGCTTTGCAGATAAGAGCTGACTATCTCAAGAGGCCTCTTCAGCCTCAGCCCTCCTGATTTTGTCAGGTTAACTGCTACCTCACGGACTTGCAATTTTCTGTCATCTCACAAGTGAACTTCTTGTACCAACTCTTGACTGGAAAACAGTAGGTCTTCCACATTTGTGGTTGTTCTGGTTTTGTCTGTCTTTGGGAAGAGAGAATTATTCTCTCTCAAGATTAGCTGGAAGTCATCTGTATACAGTTGGCTGCTAGTGGAGGTTATCACCTGGAAAGCAGTTGTCCTCTTTGCTCTTTGAGCCCTGTCCTTCAAGGTGTCCTTGGATTCTGAAGCAGAGCAATGATCTGGCCATCATTGGCATGATGCTTTTGGGCTTTGAGTATCCTTATCAGGTTTTAGTTTCTGTAAACGGACTTTAATGGTGAAGCTTTATGGTGGGCAGCTGATAAACATCGTGTTGTGGTGAGAGAATAAAAATGGCCTGTTGGAAGATGGTGTTTTGAAAACAGCTAGATCCTGCTGGCATAGTCGTTAGAATTAGATGGGTGTGTGGTATTTATGTAGCTGATAGTGTGGGATAAATAGAGCCCTATGATAGATAACACCTTCATAAGAAATTGTATACAGAGCCTGTATGAGGTTAACCAAGAATACAGCTTGGAGTGTGTGTATCTGTGCCAGGGCAGGTTCAGGGGCAGGATGTGTTTCAGACCAGCTTGGCTGTATGGTGCATGCTGCTGCTACCTACTGTCCTCAGCCTCTGAGAGTGGGGAGAGGCTCACCACCACCAGCATTTCAGCAACTGAATCTTCCAATCTGATGGGCTCATTTGCAGTCCTTGTACCTAAAGGATGCCAGCTCTGCAGTTTAGAGCAGCTGAAGGAGACACCTCAGGAGCTTGCTGCTATCACCCAGGGGCTGTTGGCAGTGGGAGAGCCTTGGGGTACATTATTACCCTCATCTCTTCTCGTTCTACTGTCATTTATGTCCCACAGAATGTTTCTGGGGCTCTAGAAGCAAATTCCAAGCAGCCCTGTCTGGGGTAATAGTGAGTGCTGCTGTGGGGCTTGGTCACAGGTCTCACTCTGCCATGGTGGGTAGTACCTGGCTGCTGGAGTTCTTACTCTCTTCACTCTCTGGATGTGTTTTGAGATGTTAATGTTTCTGGGAGTGTTCTACCTTTTGTTTCTGCTTTGGAAGATTGTTAATGAAGCTGGTGGTCAGGGGAAGCATGCTCAGGTATTCTGGCTGTTAGCAACTTGGCTTAGGGAAGTGGGAGCTGTAATACCATTGGGAACTCCTGGTTTGGAAGCAGGAGTACTGCTGGGAGGAGATTGCAGGTAAGTAACTTTGCCCCTGCAAGACACCCCCCCCCCCCCAATTCAGAGGAGGCTTAGGATAGCCTGGTGTATGCTCCATGAGCACTGCAACATGGGGACAGGTCTGTGAGCTGAGAAGGGTTAATACACCAGTTCTTTAACAGAAGGTATGTTGATACGAACAGCTCTAAATTTTAGTCGTATTTTGTAACTTTTTGTTCATTGTTTTGCATGGTACTTTCAAAACCATAATTTTGGACCTGTATGCCAATTTCCTATGTGTTTAACAAGCTTGCTGTATCATAAAGCTTTTAATCTATTTTTTAAAAAGCTAAAAGCTTCTTAACTTATATTACTATTTCACCATCTTTAAAAGTATTTTATAACTACTGCTGTCCTTTGATTTGTTTCCATTTTATTTCTATTATCTTGCAGCATCTTTTATCCAAATTCTTCTTTCTTATAAATCTTGTAAGTAGGAACCAGTAGCTTTTCCTTAATTGCGGTCATGCTTTTCTTTTTCCATAATCCCATATTTTATTTGTAAATTCATTCTCATTGTCTCTTTGTAGCTTTTGCACTTTTACTTGAAAAAGACAAGTAATTTTTTGTGTGTGTTTTTGAATGGGGAGGATTGTTGGCAAAAGCAAATTAATCTGCCTGAATCAGTCCCATCTTTTCCGTACTTTAGTCTGTGATCATGTCATGAATTTCAGGACTATGCACTAACCATGTTTTTTTTACTTAAAGCTTATTTTACAGACCTAGTGTTTGATTTGTATGCATTGTGCATGTAGTGTTTTTTTCCAACTACAGTATATTGCTGGATAGCTTATTTAGGACAAAAAATGGCTCATGGGAAGATGCATAAAGATTTGTACTTATTTCCTACTTAATGTCAATTAAAATTTGAGGTAAATGTAGGTTAAATGATAAATTTGAGAACAAAAAATTAGGAGTAGGCACTTGTCATTAAGACATTTCCTTTAAAACAAAACAAAAAAGCACTCTATCTGTAAATTATCAGGTATTCCAACTGCTAAAGTGTTAACATGCCTTTGTTTGCAAGGCTGACTGTGAACCTGCTGTTCTCCAGTGTCCCAGAGCTGAGACAGAAGTTCTCTTTTGCTGGTAGAAACACATAGGTGTGATTATGTCAGGAGCACACATTGTCTGCTGTTTGCTTTTGTAGTTTATAAAAGTTTTGGAAATCCATCTAGTCTTAGCTAAAAACAAGAACACACTCTTTAACATGTTAGTAGTCCTAGAGCAAAGCTGTCCAAGGAAGAGGGGGGGGAAAAAATTGAAAAAGTAATCAATCACCTTGAGTGCAGTGTATATTTTGTTTTGGTAGCTATCCTGGAAGAAAGGATGGGGCCAACAGAGCAAGTGGTCTTATATCCACAGGATTCTGATGTGTGAAAGGGAAACCAGAAGGCTTTCCAGAAGGACATGGGCTGGAGTGGCCTGGGCTGGCAGAACTGGCCTGTGGGGAGGAGTACAGAGCTGGGCAGAACCAGGTTAGGACCCTCTGAGAGGGTCGTGGAGCTTCTAGTAGGGATAGGGAGCAGGAGACAGCCAGCTCATGGTAGCTGCTGTCTGGAGGCTATCTTATTTATTTGGCAGTTCTAGTGATCATGTGAGGAGAGAGGGACCAAATTAGGAGAAAGGGAAGGTTGTGGAATCCCATTCTCATATGGATCCTTAAAATTATTTTATTATGTGTTTTGTAAGTATGTTTGTACAACAAGGCTGGATCAAAGCTGCTTGGTGTTCAGGGCAGCATGAGAGAAATTGGCCAGCTGGAAGTTAGGCACTTCCTTGGAAGTCAATAGTGATGGCACCATTGAAAAATTGTTTCTTAAGGGAGCAAGGGAAGGTGGCAATTTACTTTTTGTAGGGGTGAGAACCAGGTGAGGCAGATCCTTGCCCTTTCAGAGAGGGTAGGAAGCTAGTATTGGATATAAGCACTCTTCCCAGCAAGAAGTTGGGACAGTCTCTAAGATATGAAGATCAGTTGTTATCATCCTTACGAAGAAAACAAGTTAGGTACACCCACAGATACTTCCTAAACAGAGGCACTGGCTCAAGTACAGTGAACTAATAGCTTCATGTTAAGTACTCAATTGGACTTGATCTTTGTGTCCAGGATCCCATGAGCCTGTTCTGTACCCTGTCACGCACACTGAAATGCTGTTTTTTCTCTTCCCAGCTATAGCAACGCAGGCTAGTGTGGAGTTCCGCCGGAAAGGATCCCAAATGTCCACAGACACTATGGCTTCCAACCCCATGTTTGATGCCAGTGAATTCCCAGACAACTATGAAGCAGGAAGGGCAGAGGCATGCGGGACACTGTGTAGGATATTTTGTAGCAAGAAGACTGGGGAGGAAATATTACCAGCTTACCTATCTCGGTACTAACCTATCTTCCAGTTGCTTTATTGGTGTAACTTTTTGATGCAGACTAATTCCTAGTGAATAGCATTCACTCGCTGTCTGAATCCTGTGTTACCAGTTTAAAAACACCAGATTGGTCTTCAGAGGCTGGAGGTGGGATTCCTGGCCAAGCCCAGCACTGTTTTCCCCTCACATTTTCATGATGCTGCCTTTCACTGGGTTTTCTTCAAGTTTCGGTTGAAGGAGAGTACCTTAAAGTGCTTCCAGCCGGAAGGAACATTTTCTTTGTCACTTTCTTGCCTCCTTTATTTTTATTTTCATTTAGTTGAATATTGTTCAGATGGAAAAAAAATAAGTGTGCGGGCATAAGACTTGTTTAAACTTTATTAGACCACAAAGGTCTTCTGTTTTCAAATACCACATCATTGGGTTTGTTTTTTTGTAGTTGCTTTTTTTTTTTTCACCTTCTGAGTATTGAAATGCAGTAATCCCATTATTACTGTTGTGTTTGAACTACCTCTGTGTTCAGTTTTATTTCTGAGAAAATGAAGCAGTTTTGCCTGTCATGATATACCTTTTTCACAAATTTTTGTAATGTAAAATAGTAAATGCTAGAGGCAGAGAATCAGTTTTAAATTATGATTCTCTAAAATTGTTCAGGTATGTTTGTCCCAATTGGCATTAAAACTTCCCAGAATATTAAACAACTTTATACAAAAACTACTACAACATTCAAGAAATAGATAGAGCATGTGTATGCCTTCTTAATTGTTTCAAAAGTCTAGCAGGCACAAAAGAATCCCACTGTGACTGGCCAAGAGAAATATGAACTAACAAGAAGCTGCAAAAGAAGCTGACTGCTCTAGGATGATGAGCAACTGGGTTTCTGCCCTTGCTTTTTCACTTGAAGTGGTTATGATGGTTATAATTGGTCTCATTTTCTAAATTGCTGACCAGTGTGTCTTGTCCTGACATCCTGTCCACTGCCTCCCCCAAGATTTCACAGTATTTTTCTCATATTGTGGAGTTAAAATCAAGATCTTGCTCCTATCCTTACATGGGAAGGGAGTAGTGGAGAGCAGGTGATCCACTGTTAGTAACCAGCTGATCGTGCTTACTCACTTCTCAGTCCGGGTGTTGCAACAAGTCAAAGATTTCAGTAAAACTGTGCTGCACTGGATTTTCATATGAAATACCTGTCATTTGTGAGGGTTTATTAAGCTGGTCAGGTGTGCTTGCCTGTATAAGACTGGTAAGTCTTCCCCTACATTACCTGAGTAACGTAGGGGAGGACTTACCAGTCTTATGTAGTTTCCTAGCTCTGGTTTTGAAACCTACTCTGTTTTATGTAGACAAGATCAAATAGTGGCTGCAGAATCATGTGGGATTCTGATGATTTTATGTGCAAATAATTAAATCTTATCTTTCTTTGTCAGATTTTACATGCTTTTAATTCAGGGTTTGCAGATAGCAGATTTCGTTTGCCACCCGGTTCTTGCCAGTGTTATTCTAAACTCCCCTCCTCTGTTCTGCTGTGACCTGAAAGGCATTGACGTTGTGGTTCCCTACTTCATTTCGGCTCTGGAAACTATTTTACCTGACAGGTAAATTGCCATTTCCATATAAGCATCATTAGAGATGTTGGGAGGTGTTTGTCTTTTGTCATTCCTGTGTAATTTCACCAAAGAATTCTGCAGTGTGGGGCCTACAGTGTGTGTGTATTTGATGGTGATAATAGCAACACTGTGTAAGCTCAAGTTTTCAGTTTGATTTAATGCAATTTTCTTTAAAGCAATAGTAGTGCTTATTTTAAATATGTGAGTTGTTAGGTGCATATTTATTGATGCAAAGCAGTGTCTTTAAGAATAGGAAAATATATTGAAATATGTCAAAAATAATTGAAAGCCTATTGATTTTAAAGTAAACTTTCACAAGATATTCATTAGTGGCTGTTGTTGCAGTGTATTCAATAAGAAAGTAATCTTATGCATCATTAAATGGAAAAGTTGATAATTTAGGCTGATGAAATTGGAGTAGGCTCTTATCAGAGCTTTATAGATTTTAGAATGTTTTGCTAAGTTAGGCACTTAGTCTCTGCATGCCTCCTTCAGTGTATTTATTATGTCTTGGTACTATGTTTCATTTGGATGTTAGGCATTTAGACAAAAAGCATTATTTTATCTCCTGGGCGGAAATCTGAGCCGCTGCTTCTTTTGGATAAGTCTTAGAAAGAAACAGCTACATTGCATACTGCAAACTACCTAAGGTCCTTGGGTGGGTGTATATTTAATGTTAACTTAATTATGTTCAGCTCCAGATTCTTGTGAAAAGTTGATTAACTGTCTCATGCTTTGATTTGCAGAGAACTCTCAAAGTTTAAAATCTATGTAAACCCCACAGAGCTAAGAAGAGCTTCCATTAACATCTTGCTATCTCTGTTGCCTCTCCCTCATCATTTTGGAACAATAAAGTCCGAGGTAGTACATTTATCACTGTTTTGCATTCCATTTTTCTTTCCCTGGGAGTGGGATTTGGATGGGTTGTGGGTTGTATTGGGTGTTTTCCTTAGCACTAGAACTCTTCCAGTGAACATGAAACAGTAAGACCATATTACAAGGTGTCAGTAGCAATGTGTGCTATGAATGTTGACTTTTGAAACTCTGCTGACATGATCTTTAATTGATACTGAAATAAGTGTATTTTTTCTTCAGGTTGTCCTGGAAGGGAAGTTCAGCAATGATGATGGTTCAGCATATGATAAGCCAGTAACATTCCTGTCCTTGAAGCTGAGGCTTGTGAATATCCTTATAGGAGCTTTGCAAACAGAAACTGATCCAAACAACACTCAAATGATACTAGGTTATTTCAGCTTTTTTATTTATTAACTGTATTATAGAAGTGCCTGTCTTAATCTGTCCTGGGATAATATGGGTTATTAGTGCTGTGTTGCTTTGCAAGAAGAGGGTTTAAATTCCTGGCAGGCTGTCATATGTGTAATCTCCTTCATACTATGAAAACATCTTAAAAGCCTCACATTTTTGTTAATTTCTCTCCTTTTATGTGGAGCAGTACTTGAAAAGTGGAGGCAAAAGTAAAGCACGTTCTAGCACAGGAAGTAGGTAAAATTTACAGTTTTAGGAAGGATTCTTGACTAATGGATTTTGGAGAAGGCCTTAGGTTTTGGCATGGTTAAGCTTAAGAAACATTGACATACTGATGACTGGTGGTCCAGCACTGGCAAAATAGAGATGACATTTGTTTAGCAGTGTGTAAATCCTCAGATAAAAGCGAAAAGTTTTGGAATAGATTGTGGAGCTCTTGCACAATTTGACAAACTGTTCTTTGAGGTAGAGAGTGGATTAACATTATACTGAATGCTCAGGAAGTAAAGATGAAAACTTGAGTATTGCATAATCTGTCAAATATGTTTTCAGATAAGTACAAATGTACATGCCTATTACTCTTGTCCCCCCTTATTCTTCTCTCTTTAGAAGTGTTTTTTTCAACATAATGGTGTTCCTGCTCTTACCAGTTTCCTTTTGTCTGTTTAAAAAGGCAACAGTCTTGTGTTGTGAGAGAAGTGTCTGCCTTGTTTTGGGAGGCAAACAGTTTACCTAGTTAACAAGGGAGGGCAAGAAAATGATGCATCGTTAAGGGAAGGAAAACAAATCCAAGTCTCAAAGACTTTTGAAAGGTTACCTGGCAAGAGTTTAAGCAGTTTCTTTTCTCACAGAAGACTAGAGGGGAATGATTTGAAAGAATAATTTGCACCCAGTGCTGGTGAAGGGGTGAGGCTATCCGTGGTTTCCAAGTGAGACCCTCAGAGCACTGGTGCAGGTGAGGTTGTCCCACCTCTAGTACTGTGTCTGACACTGTCTCCACACTGAGTTGGTCTGCAGCCAGCTGGACCTTGGATGGCTTTTCTAGTGGGAATTATTCCCATGCTAGGCCCTGTCAGTTCACCTGCCCTGTATTCCTCCTCTTAACTTCACCTTTGGAAACAGGTGCTTATTTCCTGCTAGCTTTAGCTGGAGGGGATTCATGAATCTCCAGTTTAGCCAGAACTTCTCACATGTGCCACCGGCTTCTCAACAGAATCAGGGTTTGTTTCTATCTGCCAATAGATTTTTGGCAGCAGGTGGTGCATTTCACAGAATTAGAGTAGTTTGGGTTGGAAGAGACCTTAAAGCTCATGTCATTCCACCATGCCTTCCACCCCCATTTCCTGGGTTGGGACACCTTCCACTAGACCAGGTTGCTCCAAGCCCTGTCCAGCCTGGCCTTGGGCCCTTCCAGGGATGGGGCAGCTGCAGCTTCTCTGGACAACCTGTGCCAGGACCTTCCCACCTTCACAGGGAAGAATTTCTTCACATCATCCCACCTCACCTTGCCCTTTCTGTGTGAAAACAATTCCCCCTTGTCTTGTCATTTCCCTTCACAGAGTAAGTTGTATTTTCCTAAATGTTCGTTGATGGATGAGACAGGGGAAGGAGGCAGAAAATTAAAACTGAATCCACCAAACGTGCCAGTTTCAGGTCCATGTCCTTACTGCTTCTTCCCTCATCATCTGGGGGTGAGACTGAACAGCCTGTACCTGCTTGGCACCTTGGTTAAGACACATCAGCAGTTTTGATTTAAGTGAGTTAAAACTTCCTTGAGGTTGAAGAGAGAACTCTTGTCCTGACTGGCTTGGATGCAGTGAGGTTGGTGACCCTTGCAGTTAAGAGCTTCAGCTTTTCGAATACAGTATTTTGGGCACTGATGGAAATTAGAGCATGTAAACTGAGAGGCTGGGGGGAAACTTCCAGGCAGAGGGAATTTCAGTGTATCCCACCTTAGATTATGAACTCAGCTTCTTATAGATAACCTTAAATGTAACATGAGCTTTTAAATGAGAACAGTCTGGTGTGAGACAAGGAACCACTTCAGCTGTTCTGTGGACCCAAAATTCTTCCAAACAGAGGAATTTGACAGACCTATCACAGAACAGTTGGGGCTGGAGGAGACCTCTGGATAGCTATCATTCAGTCTAACTCCCTGCCAAGGCAGAATCACCAGTGACAGGGACCTGTCCAGGTGGGTTTTGAATGAACTCAGAGAGGGATATTTCATGACCTTCCTGGGCAGCCTGTTCCAGTGCTCTGCCACCCTCCATGAAGGAAGATTTTTCTTGTGTTGAGGTAGAACTTCTTGTATTTTAGTTTGTGCATTACTCCTTGTCCCGTTGCTAGGTACCACTAAACATAGTCTGGCACCATCCTCTGGACACCCACTGTTGCAATATTGATCTGTAATATTGATATGAGATCTCCTCTCAGTCTTTCTAGACTGTGTTCAAAGCATTTTTAACATAGCTGTCTCAACTTTCATCTGCTTCAGATGGCTAAGCTCAAAGCAAGTCCTGTGTTTTAATGAGATTTTATAAAACGGGGCTGCAAACCTCTATATAAGACCTTCTGTGCTGCTTGGTAATTGTTAGTAGGCAATTCTACTGTAGTCCGTAGTTACTTTCTTCTATCTGATTCTGCAGGTGCAATGTTAAATATTGTTCAGGATTCAGCACTGCTAGAAGCCATTGGCTGTCAGATGGAAACAGTGAGTATTTTTTGTTTATGAAGTTACCCTTCAGAAAGAATGCATTCCTTACTTTACCAGGTAGCATCTTGAGGTTTGGTCTTTTGTATCTGAGAGCATGGGGAACTCAGAAATTTTCTGATCTCTCTAAACTACCTTTCACTTTGCAGAATGGTGGTGAAAACAACCTCTTCAAAAGCCACAGTCGCACTAACAGCAGCATTAGCACTGCAAGCGGTGGCAGCACAGAGCCCACAACACCCGACAGTGAGCGGCCAGCACAGGCTCTCCTGAGGGATTATGGTAAGGATAGCTCTTGGAAAACCCTCTCATGGGTTGATGTTTGCTGGGTTTTTCTGTTCTAGTTCTGGCTAAAGCATTAATGTGCCCAGGTGCTTGAAGCCAGGGGGATAGCCCAGCTGTGTGCTGCAAGTCTGCACTCATGTGTGCCCTTCCACTGATTGTCTTAACCTTGCTAAAGGACTCTTAACATTTTCAAAATCATAATATAAAAGCTTATGAAAAAGGTGTTTAAAAACTTTAGTTTTTCAAGACACTTAGTTTCTGTCAACAAGAATGGGATATATGTACACCAGGTACAAATTAATCGCTTCATTCATTGTGATAGCATTCCAAATACTCACCTGACCTCTGCAGCACCTTTTCTTAAACCACATTGAAAGAACATTTCAGGGATTCTGGCTTCAATAGAGCAAGTAAGCAGAATGCTTGTGATATGTCATATGTTATAACAATAGAATTTAGTAATTAACTTTAGTTTGCTATGTCTTGTACTGTCCATTTTTGACACTCTGTAGTAAAATCCTTGTTCTAAATCTGTGTGTGATAAGCTGTCTGACTGTCAAGATCCTGCAATTTCATTTGCTCCTTTGGTCTTCAGTTTAACTGATGTTGGCCAATTAAATGTGAGAACAAATCACTTTTATTATATTGTAGCCTAGACTGACAATTCGGTCATCACCAACCAAAAATGTTTGAGTTTTTTTTATCTAGCTCTGTAAATAGCAAGAGGAGAGAGATTATCAGGAAAGGCTTCAGTATATTCTAGAAATTCATATAAACATGTTGGTGCTTTCCCTACAGGATTTGTTTCTTTGAAATTATCAAAGAGCTGATTTTCTGCAAACCATTTGAACTGTGTGTTTAATTTATGTGGGTTTTCACTGACAAGTGCTTGTAAAAATACTCATTTGTAAGATTTTTTAAAATCTTCAAAATATTTGAATTGCAGATTCTTCATACCATGACATAACTTGAAATATATTTTTGTAATATATTAATTTTATTGGATTTTTAAAATTTCCTGTGTACAGAAGGTAAGGTTGTAAGGAGCTTACGAAAAGAATTTGTGTTTCCATTGGATGCTTCAAATAAGAGAAAATTAAAAGCAACATGGTCTATTGTTACTGTTTACTAGTAAACAAGATGGTCTATTTGTTACTGTAGACTCTTGAATCTGCTCCTGGTGTGACATTGGACATAGTTCTTGTGTGTTAAATAAGGTAATTTAAATTTTGGGAAGAATATGCCTTATCTGTCATAATTCTCATGTCTCTTTATAACTAGTCATTGAGCAGTTTTTTATTTCTGACATTAATTTGCATACTTCAATTTTAACGTACAGAAAGTATTTATGTCCTGTAGTATTTTGAAGTGAGAACAACTGATACTTAAAACATTTTGTATTTTTAATTTTGAATTAAAGGTTCAAGGGAACAGAAGGTTAAAAAATAATTGTTTCTCTAGCACCGATTCTTTCATAATCTATGTCTATTGAATTAGTGCAGCTTTTGATAAACGTTAGGTGTACCAAGAATGGTTAACTTCTGACACAGATATTTGAAATTACATGTGCTCCTTAGTTCCTCTATACAACTACTAATGTTTAATATGCATTACCAATGCCTGTATTTTCCAGAGACTAAAAGACATAACGTGACAGACAATTTAAGTATAATAGCAAAATCTGAAGCTGGCTGTTCTGGTGCTAAAATGCAGCAGAGCTCTGGGATTATTAAAAATATCTTAAAAAAAAATTAAATTGAGCTAGCTGGTTTGTATGATGCCTGCAGAGTACATAAGGGAGTTAGCCTGTGCAAAAGGCATCAACCCAGTTTCAAGATGGTTAGGGTTTATTTCATGTCTGTATTGTGGCTGCTCTGCCTCGTGCCTGTGCTTTGCTTTTTGTCACTAATGCTTAGTTATTTTCCCTCCCTGTGGTGTGTGGTTTTGGGGTTATATCCTAGCTCTTCATACAGATACAGCTGCTGGATTGCTCATCCGCAGCATTCACCTGGTAACCCAAAGGCTCAACTCCCAGTGGAGACAGGACATGAGTATCTCTCTGGCTGCCCTGGAGCTTCTCTCTGGACTGGCAAAGGTGAGACATGCAGCTTGGTGTGCTCTGGCTCCTTCTCCTAGGGTGGTTGTAGTCTTGCCTGGGTGGAAGTCATGCCACAAAACAGATTTCTGTGGTTGAGTTTGTCAGCAACTATTCTGTTTGGAAATGAAAAAAAAAACAGCACTGTTGCTGTAGGTAATTTTCTCCCAGTGTAAACGCACTGTGGTTCCAAGGACACATGGCCTGGGAATCCCTTTTTGCTGAAACGTCTTGTTATACCACTTTTCCTCTTCCTTCTCATCTTGGAAATAGTTTTTAGAGCTTGACAAAATGTAGTGTATTGCTAATATGAAGTGTTGCCTTCTTCACAGCTTTGTCTGCACACAGTTCTTCATTCAACACAAATAACTAAAGCTACTAGGTGGGGGAGAAGAGTTGTTGACATGTAAAATACCTATTTCTACCTGAGAGCTCTTGTGCCTAGGCTAGACTTCATGGCATTTGCTAAGCAAAAGTGCAGTGTACTTAGAGTGGCCATGATAACCTGGTGTGACAATTCTGCAGTTCCTGTCATATCCCTCAGGAACTCAACAGATCTCTTTTAATCTGTATCTCAGGCAGTTTCTAGAGCATTAAGTCAGCACTGAGCCATATTGGACTGGGTGTTTATTCACTAGTGTAGTTGCAAGAACTGAAGAATGTATTTGAAAGTGTTCAGAAATGAATTACTGTGTATTATTGGATCTTACAGAGCACCATATAGAACCAGGGCTTTCTGCAGCTTGTGTGGTTAAGCTAGGGTCTTGGTTTGGTTTGGTTTGGTTTTCTTTCTTGTACGGTTATGGGAATGGGGAAATACTTTATCTTTTCAAATGTATGCCCAGGTTAATGTTAAATATTGTAGTCCTTGTATAATTCTCATGCAACTGAAGTAATTGTTGCCCTGGAATATCTTTCCCCTTTATAACAAAGTGGGGAAAAAAGAGATCACTTCTTCCTGCACAAATACTGTGGAAACTTGTTCAGCTTGTGTCTTTGGAGATGACATGTCCCAAAGCCTTTCTCAGGTGGGGGCTGCCCTGTCTTAGGTTTGTTCAGCACCACGTTATTAGTGGGACTTAGAAAAGTCAAAAATCTTGTTTCCTGCAGGAGTGCTGGTTCACAAACCTGCCTTTCATAAGCTCATCTTGAGGGGACTGTGTTTGCTGTAGATCTTGAGCTTCTGAAGGATGTTCTAGTTAAATCCTGGGGCTCTGAATTGTTACTCCCATTTGTGGGGTACAGCTGCCAGGCTTCAGTGCTGGCACCAGCACATGCTTGGATATGCATGGTCAGATGCTACCGATTAGAAAAATCCATCTGTTCCTGTGCTGAGTCACAAACTGTGAATAAGAAAGAAGAGAGAAATTCAGTACTTTAGCCTTACAGTGGAGATCCTCATGGCTCATTGTGCTGTTTCCTGACCTTCTCGTTTGGAGCCTTGCTCTCTGCAGCCCTGAGCTGGGAAGGAAGCAGAGAAAGGTGTTTGCAGTGAGTTTTGGGGAAGAGGTTATGGACTTTTTGTCGGTCTGCTTGTCCATGGATATTTTTTTGTTCCTTCTACCGGTGGTGAAAGTTACTGTGCTGAGAATATCTAGGGGAAAGTTACTTGAGCAGAATGAAGCCCTGTGGGGGACTTGGCAATGAGTGGGTTCTTGGAGATACAGAATGGGTTGCTAGAGCTAAAGAAGAGGCATATGTGGAAAAAGAATTTCAATACTGCAAATTCAGCTTACATTTGGTTTCTTACAAAGCCACACCGGTACCACTCCTGCTCTTTGAAACCAAGCTAGGCAATGTGGTCACACCTCAGTGCAGCATTTCTTTACTTTTAGTTTCAATATCTGTCGGGTTGTTGTTGTTGTTTTCTTTAAAAGAGCCGAGCAGTTATTGCTTGTTATAAAGCTGTTTATTATACAGGCACATCAGTCTCGAAAGGTAAAGAGTCACAAGTGTTAAAGTCCATGTTAAAAGTTTACAGCATAGAGTCCTAAATAGAAGTAAGGTCCCAATTAGAAGTAAAAACTGCTCCTATTGAGGTCCCAGGAAGGTTGATGCTGCTGCTGCAGCTCCAGTCTTCTTCTGGGCAAGGATAATAGCAGTGAGAAGAGAGAAGAAAGAGAGAGTAAGAGCAAGCAAGAGCTAATCTCTCCCCAGTGCCTAGATTCTTATACACAAATTACCCAACAAGCTAAAAACATGAACTCGAACCATTTCTTCTTACCCTATTAGAATTCTAGTTTCTTAGCACGCCGGGTTACATATAAACTATGCATATGGTCTATCTTGTTCTATCTGGGAGCTTTTGGTGAGGAGTTGTCACGCTGTCCCCTGTGTTGCAGGTGAAGGTGGTGGTGGATCCCTCCGACCGCAGGCGTGCCATCAGCTCCGTGTGCAGCTACATCGTGTACCAGTGCAGCCGCCCCGCCCCGCTGCACTCCCGCGACCTGCACTCCATGATCGTGGCAGCTTTCCAGTGCCTCTGTGTGTGGCTCACGGAGCACCCCGACATGCTGGATGAGAAGGTCAGAGTCTCCACTGGATGGGTTTGCAGTGCTGCATCTGAAATCCTTTTGTGCCCAGCCTGTCTGTTCTCCGTGCTTTAGTGTGATTTGCTTAGCTTTCCTAAGAATTTCAAAAATTGTTGCTGTGCAAAATACTTCTGAACTTTAACTCCGGATTGTGGAGGGAGCAGAAAACACAGAAGAAAGTTTCCCTGCATCCTCAGAACAAGCTCCTTGGAAAACCATAGCTTAGAGATAAGAAATGGCTTGTGAAATGACGAATACAAAAGGAATTCAGCTTCCCCCTCTTGGAAGAACCTCTTATCTATCTTCAGTATTAGTGGTTCATTTTCTTTTAGTATCCATAGGCCAGCTTTGAATGTAAAATCCCTCGGCAATTGGTTAGAATGTAAAATTCCCTTGGTAATTGGTGCAAACTGTAAAACCCTCAAAAGATATAAAAAACCCTGTAAAACCCTAACCGTTGTATATGCTAGATAGGATGCCTTCATAGAATAAACTATGGATTTGTGCCTTTCTGCATATTCCAGTCTCTTTTCCCCGCTGGTCTGAGAGCTTGCCGCGAGCCAAAGTTCTGTCTGGGCAAGGCTCGGGAACTTGCTCTGTCGCTGAGGGCTGCAGAAGCAGTTTCAGGGATCCCAAAGGGACCCCAAAAACCCCACCAGTGATACCTGATCTTTAGTTGCCAATACAGTCTTTGGCTTTAAAATTACCTTTTATAGTTATAGGAATGTCTCAGTCTTTCTTCTTGCTTTGTGAAACTGGAAAAAGAGAAGAAAAGTATCCTAGAAAAAGCCAAAAGAGAAATGAATGGGGTAACCCATAGCTACCTGCTGCAGGTGGCCATGACTTTCTTCATTTCTCAGCTCTTACCTGACTAAAGCATTTTTAGTCTCAACAGAATTCCTTTGATGCTAATATTTTAATAATCAGAGTTTGTTTCACCGATTTTCTAGAAACTGAGCCAAGTATAGCTCCATATAAGGTGGAATTTACTTGGTAAGCTTGAGAAGAACAGGAAATTTGAGACATATTTTCAATTGCCTTTTTCCCCACTGCTTAAGAAAAAAATGAAAAAATTTGAATGCACATTTTCATTATTATCTCTTTCAGAGCAAATTTAGTGATCTTTCTGTGTTTTTATAGAGAATAGATATGTATTATGTAATATTTTTTCTTTTTAGATAGAACATTACAAATATTTATATTTTGTTCATTCTGTAACATATGAAAATAGATATATTTTTTAAAAAGAAGAGGATTGAAAAGCCACAAGCAGAACTTTTAAATAAAGATGCTTTCTGTGTGTGCTTTGGAGTACTGGCATGGCAGTAGGTGACTGTGATAGGATAGGTTCCCTGGATGTGGCACAGGTTGTGTCTTGTCAGCTGCATAATGCTTTATTCCATTTCATTAAGGTCTTTTTGATTTCAATTTCCACTATAAGGAGTTAGTGTCACATACTGTGTGCATTAGGTACTCGCTCATTCCTGAGTCATGATAGTCAGATGAGAACCTTTCCCTGCATATTTGAAAGTATTAAAAATGCAGCTTTCCAGGTGCCTTCTCTTAGATTTGCATTGAATTTCACCTGCTGTATTGCTACCCTGTAAAATCCTGATGCAATTGTTCGTGGCCAGTCTTTTCAGCCCAATGCTGGTTAATTTTGCTCTGGATTTTTCTCTTCAACTTTTATTCTATATCAACAATGAATATAAGGAAGGACAAAGGCTAAGATACAGAACCCTGTCTGGTTTCTGGTGGTACAGCCTGACCAATCATGTTCAGTTTTAATCACTTATTTATTCAGGAGAAGTCTTTCTTTATTATTTTGTAGCTCAAGCCATGAGATCTGAACCTTTGTTGTATCAATCTGAGTATTTTCAGCAGGTGATTTTGTTCTGCACAGCACTGGTGTGTCATATCTATAGTTCTACTGAGTGTTGGTCTTTCCTGTAATAATTTTGTTGAAGCTTTTACTATGTACTTTCAGAATGTTCTTACTTTTCTCTTGGTGAATTAGATACCATGATATGTTTTACTAATGAAAGATGTTGACAATTGAAAAAATTGGAGAAGGATTTCTTGCAGTTTTCCACCCGAGTCCATTCTTAATGTGCTTAGAACTTAAAACTTCTGCAAAGAGTCCCAGAAATGCAGTTATTATCTCTTTAAGTATGCTTACGTTTTTCAGTTGCATTCGTAATAGTCCTCTAGGCAGTTTGGTATGTGTGCAATGAAATATATTGTGTGTATTTATTTATTCAGAGCACTTTTTACCATTAGAATGTAAGTAGATAGTATAAGTAAACACCTATAAGGAAAAATACCAGTTCCATAGCAAATATAATCTTATTTTGATGGTGTTGGAGTAATCATCTGCCTTTTAAATAAAAAGCTCGTATTACCAGCATTTTCTTTTTTTACTTAATGATATATTCAAAACCCTGAGGTTTTGGATATGTTTATCGAAGTGCTTCTGCTTCAAGATGGTTCTTGTGTTTTAGGACTGTCTAAAAGAGGTACTGGAGATTGTGGAGCTGGGCATTTCAGGGAGTAAATCCAAAAACAGTGAACAGGAGGTCAAGTACAAAGGAGATAAGGAACCAAACCCTGCATCCATGCGAGTGAAGGATGCTGCTGAAGCTACACTAACATGGTATGTAATTTGTCAGAGCACCTTTAATGTTCAGTATTGCCTTGTCTGAGAGTGTTTAATAGGGAGTTTGCAGTTGGTGGTCTCTGTAAAAAGAGTATTTAAGAAGTTAGGCAGAAGTTCCCTCTCTTTGCCGTTTGGGCAGAGGTGTGCTCTGCCTTAGCTCTCTCCCCCTCCCCTTGCAGGTGATAGCAGAAACAGATCCCTCTGGTCACTGTTTGCCCCTCCTGTCCCCTCTCTTCCTTGTTCAATAAAACCCAGACCCTCCTCCAGCCCTGGTGTTCTGTTCCTGGCCAGGCCTCTCTGGAGACAGCAATTCCTGCTCTCTCACCCCAGTGATCCTGTCTTCCCATTTCCTCTTCTCCTCCTTCTGACAACATATGCTGTCCCCACTCTGGTTGGGAAACTGCTAGACACTGTGTGACAGCAGGGAATGGCACATGCAGCACATGTATGCTGGAGCAGGATGGGATGGCTGCCTGCCCACAACGTTGGGCTTGATTAATATATTTGAGAGGTTCTGCTGGAAATGCAGTAACAGATAATGTGTAGGTTGGGAAAGGGAAGCACAGAGAGGAAAACTGGGATTTGCTCCAGAGAAGTTGGAAAGCACTGTGTTATGGGCTGAACAGCATAGTGGCAGACAGGACAGATTGAGGAGGGAAGGATAAATATGTTTTGCAAAAGGCAATAGCTGCTTTCTTTTTTGCTGTGCTTTGGAACCCAACTGTTATAAATGTTACTGTTAGTAAAAACAACTGTGTAATTTCCAAGAAAAGGCAACTGCTCATTGGAACTTGTGGACAAATCCATATTGTTGCCTGAAAGTACCTATTTTAAGTTGGAGGGATGAAACCGTTTCCACAGTAAAGTGGAAAAGTGTATGGGGAGAGCAATCAATAGACTTACTTTTACTCTAGGTGTTGGTTTTAAGGGTAAAGTCCTGACTTAGATCGTGTGACACTGGACAGCTCTCCTTACTGGTTCCTGCCATAGAAATTTTCAGTTTCTAATAGTGTTAGTGAGATCCTGTAAAACTTCAAATGATTTAGAACGTGGCCTCCTAAGGTTGTGGCTCCAAGGAGTTGGGCACTGTTGGGCCCCACCTGGAGGCTTTCTCCAGGGAAGATTACCATCTGTGATAGTTGGGCTTCTGTGATCCTGGACCTTTTAGGGTCCCAACCACTTAAAGGGTTTTAAGCTACTGCAATCTGTACTTGAAGAAAGCAAAGGTAATTGTAACTAGTGTACTGACATGTCTGTAATGCTTGTTGGTATGAAAGGGCTGAAGTATGGATGACTGGAGAAATGCTTTAAAAATGAACATATGGAAGGCTATGGAAGGGTACAGATTTTTGTGCTTTAAAGCATCTCTTAATATCTTTGTAACCCGGGTTATAAAGAAGCTTGTTCTATAGGCAGAGTACCCTTCTTTGTGGATTTTCATGCATGTTTTTCTGAAGTTGCTGGTTATCTTAAAACAACCTGATGGGCAAGGGCAGATGTGCCCTGATAATGGAACTGCTAGGTCAAAACACAGATGAAGAATGAGTGAGAGTTGGTGCTTGGGTGGAACAGTTCCCTTAATCTGTGATAACTCTCAACTTTTTTCTCACTTGCAGCATTATGCAGTTACTTGGAGCATTTCCTTCTCCCAGTGGTCCTGCTTCTCCTTGCAGCTTGGTGAATGAGACCACGTTAATTAAATATTCCCGTCTCCCTACCATAAACAAGCACAGCTTCCGTTACTTTGTCTTGGATAACAGCGTCATCCTGGCCATGCTGGAGCAGCCTCTAGGGAATGAACAGAGTAAGTTCACATTTCCCATTTCCTTCTTTCTCAGGCTAAAACTTTCTGTATGGAGCTGCAAAACAAACGTACTTCATCAAGAGTCTTTCACCTTTCAGGGGCTTTCCTATCTATGGGTGGACACAGAGCAGAGTGTTGCTCTGGGATTAAGTGGTGGGAATAACTTTAATGGCACTGATAATCTAACATGCACAAGCCTACCCAAATTGTTTGTGCAGTTGTCCAAGTCTTTCAACCAGTTAGATCATTTACTTGCTGCTGGCTGCCATTGAAATAATGGGTGATGGACAAAAGCAATAGCTTTACATTTTGAAACATCCTTGTTCCTACAAGAATAAAAGTGTGGAGTATAGGACACTTGATAGGAGCTAGTGCTTTACATATGGTTAGTATGTCTCCTTTATGCTTGCACCATTGCTGCTGCTTGCTTTAGGCCTGCTATTACTGCATATTTCAGCTTTCAGCTCAGGTGGTTTTAGTTACTTAGGAGCTGTTACAACTTTCCCATGTCTGATCCTCTTCTCTCAATGACGCCTCCTGTAAAGGAGATTTGTGTTGGCTTTCACAGCTGAGTGCAACTCATTTCAGCCTCATAGACTTTGACCATCAGGAACTTGTGTTACAAAGATCTTAAATTAAATAATGCTTTGAACAGAATAATTGATCCCCCATAAGTCTTCACATGTCATAGTGTTACCTAATAGAACAGGTGAAAATTCTTTAACATGCTACCTCAGTTAAAGACTAACTTATGTTAGAGCTGATGTACTGTACCAAATACATTTTCCTCATCTGTAAATAGGATGGAGCCTAAAAACTAGTCTTGAAAGCAGAGATTGCACAGACCTGCATGAACTGGTGCTGAGAAGTTGAGTTGAGATCCAGAGTGCTCTGACCATGTTGAGAATCACTGAATAGCTCTTGCAGGAAGTGACAATGCTGGGAGCCATTGCACATGTCCACCCCCAGTCTGTGTTAGAGCAAGTGTGTTCCTGACTAGAATGCTAGAAAGGCTAAGCAGTCCTCGTCCTCACTCTGCCTCTGCTAAATGTGTTACTGTGGAATCCTGCAAAGCTGCTGGAATCAAGAATTAGATTATCTTTTCTTGCTGTATATAACTTGCTTGCAAATCCCCTTCGAATGACAAGATTAATTGCAATAATGCACAAGTACATCAGGCCGGTTGTGAGGCAGATCCTGGAAGTGAGTGACTGAGGAGCTGCTTTGGGTTCTCTCTGTGTGTGTGCTTATGTCCAATGTGTGCATAGGCTGTGCTGCACCCTGAACTTCCCAGAAAATACTGGGGAAGGAATAGGGTTCTGCTAGTCACCTGATGGTGCCAGTGTGTAGTTTATGTGCACAAAAGATAAATGCAAATACTTTTAAGAAGAAAAGCTTATGATGAAGTATGATGATCTCATCTAAGGTGACTAATATTGGTGGCCTTTTAAATCTTGAAGGAAGACTGAAATCCCTGCAATGTTAAAACCATCATTGTGCCAGTAGAAGGCACCTCAGGACTCTGTTGTCTGACCTCCTGTTGCAGACAAGGCCAGCACTGATTTGGACCAGGATAACCCAACCTGGTGTTGCCCAAGTGGGTCTTGTAAACCTGAGAGGACAGCTTCTCTGTGTCCCTATTCCTTGTGGGGAAAAATTTTCTATAATGTAGAGTTGGAATCTTCTGATTCTGTTTGACCATTATCTTTTTGTCCTTCCACTGTTTTTACTGTTGCTATTTGTGAGGAACTTTTGCAGGAGGTCATGGAAGCATAATGGAAACAGTGTCTCCATGTGGGCATTGTCTCACCTAAACAGTCAGTGACTGGACAATCTTTGATTTTTTTTTTTGGAGGTATTTTGGAGAAGAATGGTGATCTGCATGAATTTGGAACAAAGTTGCTTTTAATGATGAAACTGAGGTGGCAAGTACTGAGGTGGCAAGTACTGAGCTGACAGACTAGCACTTTGCTGCTGCAGAGAGATTTGCTTGTTTCTCACCAGGAGTTTTCTGCAGGGTCAGGGAGGAATTAACCATGAAAGCAAAACTCTGTCATGCCTGCATTTTCTTGTTGAGTGATTACACAGTGACCTGTTTGCAGTATATGATGATGTCTGATTCTCTTAACCCATGTGCTTTGCAGATGACTCTTTCCCCTCTGTCACTGTTCTGATCCGTGGGACATCTGGAAGATTTGCGTGGGCGCAGCAACTCTGTCTTTTACCAAGAGGAGCTAAAGCAAATCAAAAGGTCTCTATCAAAGCCTGTAAATAAATCTTTAACTTAGAGATGTTCAGCAGAAATTCCACTAATGTGAGACAGCCCCCCAGAGCTGGTGATTATACATTAAAGCTGAGCCATGGGACCTTTAGTTGTTGGTAATGTGCCATATCTCTGATAACTCTTCTATTAACTACAGGCTCTCAAAGTGCTGTTGCTTTCTCAACTTGCAGACTTACTTAAGGGAGGTGCCATTCTCTTTTTTTTTTTTTTTTTTTTTTTTTCTTTTCTTTTTTTCTGAAAGCATCTTCTGAAGTGATGGCATAAGGCACAGTGTATTTAGTGTGTAGGCTGGAGTGTTGGTGCTAGTTTTCAGGTATCAGGCAAAGCCCTTGCACCAGAGGGAGTGAAGTCTGGAGGTGTAGAATGTGGTGCTGCAGCGAGAATAAGTCTTCAAGCCACAAAGCCTGATGTTGCAAAGATGGCTGTAAACCTGCTGTGAAAAAAATTACCTAGATGAACTCGGGAACACCTCTGGAGAGGAATGGTGGAAGAGAAATACCTCAGTCTTATTTTATAGTTTATTATTAGATTTCTTACTGCAGTTATATAATGGAGCATGTACTCCTGTCATTAAAATTTCTGTCTGTGAGCTTCTCCAAATTTTTAAGCTCTTCCCATGACCCTCAGTAAAAAAAAAGGCAGTCATGTAGCTGAAATCAGGGCTTGTCAGTCTGAGCTGGCAGTTCACATTTAGATGAATATGGTCTCTGTGAAGCAGCCTTTGAGAAGACTATCCAGGATGTCTTGGAGCTCTGCTATCTCTGGAACTGGGACCTTTGGCTAAATAATCTCAGTCCAGGTGTGCTACCTCCTACACTAAAGGGCAAGGCATGATCTGACTGCTGACCTTCTCACCAGTTTTAAGGGCACTTTTCCAAGTTGAAGGCATTCTATGATGTAATTGGTTAATGGTTTTGCCCTTTTGAAATGCAATCAGTAGTAAACTTAAAAAACAGCACTGAAGATGCAATGAAAGGTCTTGCTTGGAGCTGGTGCACCTCTAAACCTGCACCTAGATGATTTGTTGCTTTCCTTGGTAACTTGAAGGTTGGAATTATGTAATGACAGTATCAAACAGGAGTAGTAGCAATGTCAAAATTGCATCATGACCCATGATTCAAGTCTTTTGGCTATTCTGGCAGTGCATCTCCTGTCCCACGGCATTGCTGCTCTCTTTGAGGCCTTGGCTTGTTGTGATCATCACAGTCAGGAGGGTTGAAATGGAGTTTCTCAAATACTTGCCATCTTTCTCTGAATACAGCTAGAATGGACTGAAAATAAAATGTGCCATGTAAGCTTGCCGTTTTTTGGTTATTTGCAACTGTTTACAGTTGCATGTTTAGCAGGGTTCATAGATTTCAAAATGGGCCACTGTATCGTCTTAAAATTTATGGTCACATTTTTAATGCAAGTCTATTAGTTTAGAGTACTGAATGTATTTTAATGGTGCTGCTCACTAATAGATTAGTGTAGTTCTGGTTGGGAGGGGAGAGGAAATGTTTTTCATCTATTGCAATATTGTCTAGTGATGCAATACCTTGAATGTAAAAACAACCTTTTATTTGTCAGACATTTGTACCAGAACCTCGACCAGCTCCTAAAAATGATGTTGGGTTGAAACACAGTGTGAAACACCGCCCTTTTCCTGAAGAAGTGGACAAGATTCCATTTGTGAAAGCTGACTTAAGCATTCCTGATTTACATGAAATCGTGAATCAGGAAGTAAGTAACTGTCTCTGACTTGATTTTGTTCTTGGGTTTTTTTTCTGTTAGTGAGTCATGCACTTACGTCTTACTGTAAATAGTTTTAATCTTTGGCTTTTCCAATTTCATATTAATGGAATAACAGCCTCTGCAAATAAGTTAAATCTATGCACTTCTCCAGGAAGATGCCAATGCTTTGGATGTGTTATTTAGGAGACATTGCTCAACATGTTTTATTACTGATCCTAATATCCTGTTATTGTAGGAAGCAATTACTTGCACTTTGTTGCTTCTTCTGGGGAAATGGAAGTGTCTTTTTTGGGACCTTTCTGAGGGAAGAAGAGAGTGCATGTCTCAAATATTTCCAAGTGTCACAGGATCTAATTTGTTTTAGTTTCTGTTCTCTTGAATAGGAGAAGCCATAGCTGATGCTGGATATTCGCAGAGGTCTCTTATGCCATCAGGGTGTTAAAGTGCTCACTTTGCAATGTTGCAAGGTCTTTTTGAAAGTGTTTTATTAACATTCTCATGTGGACTGCAGCTGCTGCTGTAGAGCTTTCCTAAGTGATGGAACTGTTTTTGTAGTGGATCTTTGATTTTGGTGACATCAGCAGTTCACACAATGTTTTCCAGCTCGAGGAGCGCCATGAGAAGCTGAGGAATGGCATGGCTCAGCAGATTGTCTTTGAGACTTCCATCGATCAGAGAAGTGAAGAGGAGTGGCGAAAGAAGAGCTTTCCTGATCCCATCACGGAGTGTAAGCCCCCGCCACCGGCACAGGAGTTCCAGACAGCACGTCTGTTCCTCTCTCACTTCGGGTTCCTCTCGTTAGAGGCATTGAAGGTGACCTGATACCTCTTGGTGTTGTCCAGTTCCCATGTGGTCTGGCTTGACTAAAGTGGAAAAATCAGCTTTGTTAGTGGAAGATCATTTATGTGATGGTCTGTTCAGCTGCAGTCATCAAATCAAGTGATAGATTGCAATACTCCAGGACTAAGAGCAGGATTGTGAAAGGCTGGGTCTCAAATTGAACATGCTCTGAATAGGTGTCTGTATCTTTGTTTTCAGTGGGTGCGTAAGCCATCATACTCAAATGTTCATGCTTAAAATCATTCCACAACATGAGTTAGGTTTTAGGGTGGTACTTAAAGACTCTCTGAAATATGACTGCCATAGAAGTTTTGCTTCAGAGGTGGTTGTGCTGAGGTGGTTTAATCATACATAAAAACTTGGTGCATAATAGATGTAGAGGTTTCTTTTTAAAATTAAAATAATTATTTTTAGAGGTGATCCATATTATTAATTTGAAATTCTGCCTCTTATCTTTTCCTTCCAGAAAACTGTCAGGAAAAGTAGACTATAGAGCATTTGCAAAAATGATGTCTGAAAGTGCTCAATATACTAGATATTACTGGTATTTAAGTTAATCTGGAACTGCATATGCAACTGTATGCATAGCTGTGATATTCTGAAAGCATTTGCTGTTTTTGTTGTGTGCTCTTCTTGAGCAAAACATTGTCTCTCACTGGCAAAGTACCACTTTTATTTAATGAGAATGGAATGCAATGAATTGTCAACCTGTTATGCTTGCTGTTACTCATTTGCACTGACAAGATTATATCACATCAGAAATCCCTGTATAATTTTGCTCTTAGAGAAGGGAAATTGTCTTTTTATGTTTTAACGGATTGCTGTTGAAGCTATAAAGACCTCTCAATTAAGAAAGATGAGTTTTTTAAGCTGTTGAACTCTGTCTATTGGACAGGAACCTACTAACAGTCGTCTACCTCCTCATCTGATTGCACTTGACTCTGCTCTTCCTGGGTTTTTTGATGACCTTGGCTACTTGGATTTGTTACCTTGTCGTCCTTTTGATACTGTTTTCATTTTCTACATGAAGGCAGGTCAGAAAACTAGCCAGGAGGTAAGTAAAAGTGTAGAGTGCCAACTAGTCTGTATTACCTTGTTTCTAGTAATTTCCGAGTGAGTAAAGCCTCACTGCTGGTGATTAGAGTGGAATGTCAGAACCCGTGCGAGCTACAAGTCGCTGCATGCTTTCTTCATCTGTAGGTTGAAATACAGTGCTCACGCTCAGGATTATTGTAACAAATTTAATGTATTTTTTAAATATAGATAAGATGTATATTAAAATATTAATAGTATTTTTATAATCTGTTCTGTCCTTATTGTCCTTATTTGTAGAGTTGAAAGATTCAGATCAGAAAGGCATTTCAGCTTTGTTGGCTCAGCTTGCAGGGAAGGTTGCAGTTTGTTCCAGCAATGAGCAATGTCAAGGTAGTTTGGTTTCATTCTAATGTTAAACACATGTTAAAGGAATGGAAAACTTTCTGTGAGTAAGGAAGTATGATGGCATTGTAAGTCTTTATGCTATAATATTTAGATTCAAAGGCGGTTAGGTTATTCAGGTTGATTTGTGCAAATCTAAGTTGTGACTTGTTTGTGACCTAGAAACTTGCTAAGAGGGTTAATGGGCTCATTAGGAAAGGATGTTTCTCCAGTACCTTCTCATTCCATTCATAACTCTGTAGTAAAGAGTAGAAGTGTGGTTTCCTTAATAAATCATTGTGCCAACCTGTGTGACTGTGAATGCACAGAACACTGCAGCACCTTCTGCTTTGGTGTGGGACAGATCTTGAAACCAGGGTCATCTGTCTGTGAGTGTTCACACTGTCATTCAGAGTAGCCAGTGCAGTCTTTTCACCTGGAAAGTCAGCTATGAAACAAGATATGCTAGGTTTGCCTTTGAGCTGAGACATGTGCTTGCTGAGCTAGCAGCATGTTTATATGCTCTTATGGGGCTCTTATGTTTTCCAACCCACACTTGCCCTGACTTGTTCTGAAGCACAGTTATGGTCTCAGTGTGCTCAGTAATGAGGATTGATAATATTTCAATGCAGTGTGTCCAGTCACTGCTGAGCACTGTATGAAGCATTAGGATGGAGTGTCAGGACTATATGGCTGGACAAAGCCTCCAGCCTGGAAGCTTTTCTTCCAGCAGTCGTCCCTGCAATTTCTGCTTTCTTGGGGCCTATGTCCCAGTGTTCTGCTGCTGCTCAAGCCAGAATGATTGATGCCTCTGCCACAAACCAAATTCCTGCATGGCCCAGAAAGGATGAATAGATTGTTTATTCCACCAACACCAATGGTTCTGGTACCTAAATACACGTCCTTGTGTACTGCTTGGTGAAGGGCTCAACTCCCACTTGGTCATAATAGTAAAAATTGCCTTAACATGTGGAAACATCCCAGAACTCTGTCAGAAGTAGAATTAAAATTTAACACAAACAGTACCGTGTGATGTTTGATTCAAGTGCACACTCAATGCTGCTGAAAATGGTTTTTGAAAATCTGTTTCATAATTTAATGTGCTATGAGGCATGCCCTTTAAATTGCTCTATATTGTGTACAGGTGAGTAGTGAGGAAAATACCTCTCTTCAAATTTTAGCTCAGTCTAATAGTGAAAACTACCTAGAAAATCCTTGTGTTAGCTTTGGTGGAAATGCAGGTTCCACACTGAGTACTCTGTAGTTTTTCTGATGAGTGCTTGGGTCTCAAAATTGCCGTTTTCAGCATTGAATTCACTGTTTTACAGGCTTTGAAAATTCTGGCAGAAAGTCAGTTTGATTGACTAGGACAAGGCCAAGCAGGCTAGGAGGATGCTGAGGAGCAGGGAGTAATGTTCATGTAGAAATTCTGGGGTTCCAGGCTTGTTCTGTACCTATATTTGGGCAAAACCATGTTGGTGACAAAAAATTTAATTAAAAGGCTGGGGAGGAAGATACTTGTTTCCCGCTTCTGTACCAACATGATGCTACTGGTGTTTTCAGATCCTGAAGAACATGGAGTCTTCCAGAATTGTTCAGCCCCACTTCCTGGAGTTCTTGCTGTCTCTTGGCTGGTCTGTTGACGTTGGGAAGCACCCTGGGTGGACTGGTCACGTCTCAACAAGCTGGTCAATCAATAGCTGCAGTGATGAAGAGGGACCTGAACAAGGTAAGACATAGTAAACGTCTTTTGTAGTAAATTCAAATGTTTAGCCACCTTTAGAAGACAATTTTCTTGCTCCTGTGTACCTATCTGAACACTGGCACTTTTTTCTCTTTTTTTTTGATAAATGTTTGCTAGAAAGAAAGGTGTGAATATTAAATTAAGCTTCAAGTCAGAATGAGCAAAACTAATGTCTGTATGTTGTTGAGAGGAAGTAGCCTCAGCAAAAAAAATACCTCTGAGCTATATTTTTAAGATTTGATGAGTCTTCAGTATATTATCCCAAACCCGTATTCAGGTGAAATCATTGCAGATTGTTCTGTGTATTGGCAAATAGGCTTCAAATACTGTGTGGGGTTGTTTTTGGGTTTTTTTAAGTATTCTGTAAGTAGATTAAAATGAAGTATTGACTCATGCTGCTGTTTACTGTGCTAGAGGTATTGGAACCCACACATGGCTCTCTGTCTTGCTTCATTGCTGCTTTCCACTAGCAGAACTCTTCTCCTGAGCTTGTCATAGACCACCCTCTCCCCATTCTGTCACCCAGCATGATCCTCAGGAATGTCAGCTACTATCCCAAGACAGGGTTGGGTTAGCTTCTCCCTTGGACAACTTGATCAGATTCCCTGGGAATTGGTAGTGTCTGGGCTGGTTTCAGTGTCACTTCTCCAAGGCCCAGATGTGTTCTGGGTGATCCAGAGCCACAGCCTCTGGTGGGCCACCCAAAGGCACTGGTAAGGCTGATGCAGCTTGTTCAGCATCCTTGACCTGATGTTGGCATCAGGTGTGACACTGTTAGAGCTGCACGTGCTTAAGCAGCACTTGCTCTGCTGTCCATTCACTGTCTTGGGAGTGCCCTTCACCTGTATCTTCAGCCAGCTGGAGGCTTCTCCCTTAAGTTATGGAATAAAAGTACAAACCACAGAAGGCTGGAAGTGTTGGGGAGAGGTTAGAGTACAGAAACATTGCTTTCTCTGAGCACGTCAGGCTGGATTACAAAACGGCCAGGTCTGGATTTAATTTTGCTTTAAGGACAGGGTCAGGCTGTGTTTCTCAGAGGCAGTGCCCTCTGACCTGCCTTTGCAGTGGCTGCAGAACAACTGCAGAAGGCAGGTTCCTGAGTTAGCAAGGGACCTGGTTTGATGTGGACTTTTCAACTCGAATTTTTTTGACCATTTGAATGAAAACACAGATCACTAAACAGCTGAACTAATTCAACCAGCTTAAGGAAGAAGGAAACAGAAAAAGCATTCAGAAATAGAATAGAGGAAAGGCAGGCTACTTGTAATCTGGTTCTGTTGGTGAATGGGCTGGAGCACAAGTCTGATGAGGAGCAGCTGAGGGAGCTGAGAGGGCTCAGCCTGGAGAAAAGGGAGCTCAAGAGAGACCTTCTCACTCTCTACAACTCCCTGAAAAGCATAGCAGCCAGGTCAGGGTCAGTATCCCAGGTAATGAGTGACAGGATCAGAGGAAACAGCCCAGTGCAGGCTTATGTTGGATAGAAAATTTCTTTGTGGAAGGGGTCAGGCACTAGCACAGGCTGCCCAGGACAGGGGTGGAGTCACCATCTCTGGAGGGATTTAAAAGCTGTGCAAATGTGGGACTTGGGAATATGGTAAGTGGTGAGTTGGGCAGTGCTGCCTTAGCAGTTGGACTCAATGATCTCCAACCTAAATGATTCAGTGAGTCTAAAATAGCTTCCAGTGAGTTGTGGTTAAAATAATTTCATGGGAATGTTTCCCTGCAGCAACCCCAAAATCAAAAAAATTGCTAAAGAGATGGGTTCAAGTTGTGGTACTGCTCCTTGGGAGCCTGTGCATTGGACATGTGGGACCCTTCTCCTGATGCTGAAGAATAGCTTGGAGTCTTCAACATGCCTCTGGCCACTTCTCTGTCCGTATGCCGAATTTCACTGCTCCGGTGGCTTTGCTGAGGCAGCTACCCCAGGAGCCCTTCTATAAACTAGATCAGAGAAATACTTTAAAATAAAGTTCTTTCTAGTCTTTCTGGAGGTGACATGGGGAAGGAAAAGTGGGGAGGGAAGCTCTTTCTCTACTCTGAAGGCCTCTGTTGGCCAGTTGTGGTAAGGGAATCAGTGGGGACTGAGAATGAGGAGCTTTCTTGCATTGACTGGAGACAGATCTTTTTCTACCTCTACTTGACAGACAAAAGACCAAAGAGAGCCTGTAGAAACTGGCTTGATTTCTAGAATAGTATCAGACTGAAGTGATAAATGTTAGAATCCTTCAGAAATAGAATGACTAACTAAATGGTGTTGCTAGACAGAATGCTCAGAAATAGATAGTAGATGTATTCTTGTGGCAGATGTGCTTACTAGAGTACTTGGAAACAAAGAATACAGTACATTGGAAATGTGTTCAAAATGAAGCCACTCCCAATCCAAAATGCCTTTTCCTTCAAGATAATAAAAACATTTGTCTGAGAAGGGTTGTTAGCCATGAGATTTGACTCCTTTCATTTTAAAATGAGATTTGCATGATTTCTTCTCATTGATTGCACCTTGTATTGGAAGGTGATTTCTGAAGCAGCGTGTAAAGAAGCAGAGCTTCCTTCTGGCTAAACATTCCTTTTCCATCCATTTCAGATGATCTGATTATCTCAGAAGATGTTGGGGCAAGTATCTTCAATGGGCAGAAGAAGGTGCTGTATTATGCAGATGCCCTGACAGAAATTGCCTTTGTTGTCCCATCACCAGTGGAATCACTGAGTAAGATCTCTCTGTCCATGCTCTATACAAGAATGAAATCAACATTTTTTTTGTTTGAGAACTTCTTCAGAAGCAAAACCTAAATAAACTAAGTAGTGTGTTTAGCAAGATTCTTGTCAGAAAGGTGTGGACGTTTAAATTGCAACATTCTAGTCCTTAGACTCCTTCCTGATGTTGCACCTATTCTGTGCCTTTCTCAGTCTGAGCCTCAGTAGATGTCCAGGCATGCACAGCAGTTTTGCTGTTGCCAAAGTGCTTTTGCTTGGACATGGGGTTTGCCATCAACTTGTGATGCCTATGTTATTTTTTTCCTTTCCTGTCAGTGATATGCTCCTGCAGCACATTAAGGAGTGTTTGTACCCCTGCTAAGCAGAGAAGCAACAGCTTTCATGGCATCTTTGGCATGCTAAAAGTTGCCAGGAATAAAATATGGTGTAGCCATAGGAGGAAGGAGACTGTATTCTATAGGAAATTGCTGGGATGCATGTAAGTCCATGGGGAGGCTTTATTGCCACTCTGCTTCTGGAGTAACTGGCAGTTGTCTCCTAACTCATCTTCCTGCTTATGAGGACTGTATTGACTTGACCATACATCTATGCATGTCTAGTTTCAAAAGCCTTACAACATTTTTTTAGTATCAAAATCTTACATATGATCACAGTTTAAGTCTTTTGATGGAAGAATAGACAAAACCCCTCTCTTTTTCTTCTGGCTTACAGCTGATTCACTGGAAAGCAGTGTCTCTGACCAGGAAAGTGACTCCAACATGGATTTGCTGCCAGGAATATTGAAGCAGCAGCCTCTGACACTTGAACTCTTCCCCAATCATACAGACAATCTTAATCCCTCCCAGCGGGTAAGGCAAAACCTGCATTGAAAAATGGTGCTTATTTTTTTTCTTTCAAGAAGCATGCTGGTAATGCTTAGGATTTTTGATAGTATATTATTTGGTTTCCTGGTGTGTAGAGCTACTTGTTCCTTGCCATAATCTCTGATATCTGCTTTGCATCTACAGTAGGAGATAGGAAGATTACATTACTTAAATATAAAACTTGGACATGCTAAGTGGTAGTACTGAAATGTTGAAGTGCAGCAAAAAGTATATGCAGTATTTACAGAGTAATTCAGCCTCAAATCCATGCTTGGAAATTGAGGATGGATAGACATGAACACTTTTCCTACCTACCCACTTTAAAACAGTGTGTCAGTTGTGTCTGAAGTACCAGAAGTTGCTTTTGTACACTAACAAAGCAGAAAACCATGAACTGTTGTACCTGTAAGTGAAAGACTTATCACTGCTGATTACTTGTTTAGAATTCACTTCCAAATGTATATTTAGTTACTAATTTAAAGTCTTTAGAAACATTAAAGAAACTTTTAACTGATTCAGTATTGAATATATGTATATACTAGTTGGTTTTGAATACATGGAGGTTGGCGACCCAGATTGCAGTGAGTAGTTCCAGCACAGCTGCTCCTGCTCAGTAGTTGGCAAAGGTTGTACCTGGCTGAGACATGAATGACTGAGGAGCAGCTGGAAAATACTTACTGGCTGCATTATTGGACTCATGACGTTTGCAAATGCTACTCTTCCCTTATGTTCAAAACAGCTCAGTCCTACTTCCAGATCCAAGAGGATGCCTCAGGGTCGAACCATTCCACCAATGGGACCTGAAACCAAAGTCTATGTGGTCTGGGTGGAACGTTATGATGATATAGGTATGTACAAGTCCTAATTGTTCACTGAAGTCAAAACAAGACAGGAACCAGAGGAAAAACTCTGTTCCTTTTTTAATGCAATCCTAGATCATGGAACCACAGACTAAGTTGGAGGGGACCTTAAAGCTTATCTAGTCCCAACCCCCTTCCATGTGCAGGGACACCTTCCACTAAATCAGGTTGTTCCGAGCCCATCCAGCCTGAACACTTCCAGGGATGGGGCAGGCACAGCTTCCCTGGGCAGCCTGGGCCAGGGCCTCACCATCCTCACAATCAAAATAAGTCCTTATTAATACCTGTAACAATGCTAAGATTCTGAATCAGTTCTTCAATAGTTGAGTTGTGATCCATAGGGTGTGCGTGAATCAGTGGCATATGTAGGTCTGAAGTTTCCTTTAGTGCTGGCAGTACCTGTGAAATGCTGTCATGAGCCTTCTTCAGCTCAGCACCCAAGCCAGGTGTGTTCCTCTGTTTTTGAGTTCTCCTCGACTCTTGTCTCCTAGGAGTGGATCTGGTTTTCTTCCTTTAAAATAATGGCTTCTGACACCTGCTGTTTGTGTGCTGGAGGGATCATCATCCTTCTTGGTGTGATGGCACCACTGGGATTCCATGTTCCCTCCTCAGGGGAGGGCTCCTTTGTTCTGCACTCAGGTTGCCTGCTCTGTGGTCTCTTTCTACTGTGCTGCTCAGGAAAGCTCCTGCTCCTCATGCAACTATGTTTCTTAGTTTGGTGTTTCCTCTCTGCCTCAGGCTACTGCTGCTCTGGGAGAGACACAGCCTTGCTTATCCTGTTACAGCCATGGCATGGCCATGGTGAACAGTGTTGAGGAATTCTTTGTCCCCAGGAGCTTCTTGTGTGGTGGTTCCAAGCAAGGCCTGGCCTCAGAGTCTGTGCACTGGCCTAGCCCAGCAGTATCTGCAAGAGTGGCCAGGAACTGCTGCTTTATTCTGTCTTTGATTTCTAATCCTGGTTCCCAGTCTGGCAGTAAGGGTGGACCTTAATTAAGGCTTTAGCTCCTTCCAGAGTAAAGCAACCAAGGGAATGGGAGCAGCAATCAAGAGGAAGCTTCCTATTAAGTGTAGATACATATTCTCAGGAAGACCACCTTCTCCACAGCATGTCCCTCAAAACCTTACTGAGCTCAGAAGGCAGGCAGCAAGTTCTGCATCATAATTTCTTTGTCCAGACATTGGCCTGGAGTGTGTTCCAAGTTGATGTCCCTGACCCACTTCCTTCTTGGGTGGCAGCTAAAGCCCCTTTATTGCTGGAGCAACAGCTGTGCTACATAGGCATGCTTCTGCTTGACTGTTTCTTTCAGCAGCCATAGGAATCACCCAGAGTTTTGGGCCTGAAGCTGAAGAAATGAGTTTTTGAGCCTCAGTAAGCCTGGCAGTTGGATGGAGGGAAGGGCAGCTCTTGGAAGTGACTCCTAGCCCAGAGGCTCTGCCATATGCTCCTTATGTTCTTGGCTTTTGCCTTATGCTTCTGGTACATCTTTGGGTCTGGACAGTGAAAAACTGTCACTTTGTAGTCAAGGTTATCCCCCCAGTGCCAGCTGCCTTTCCTCCCTCTTGCTCCATCTCCGAGTGTGTCCATGGCTTGCCGTGCTCTCCCTCTGCTTGCTCCAGCTGCTGTGTACCCTTAGCATCCCAGCTCTGAAGGCAACATCTGGGTTTGGGCCTTAGACTCCTTCTGGAAGTACTGTCCTGCTGCCTGAACTGTACTTCTGTGAGTAACTCAACATCTCTTAATCCCTGAACAAGGTGCTGGGAAGTGCCAGATCCCCTTAAGGGGTTCAAGTTCTTACTTTTTTCCTCATTCACCTTCATTATCTGGTCTTTGTTACCAAGTGCATGGGAGCAGGGATTGTAGGTTATAGTGGAGATCCACAGAGCCTGGATTTGAGGAAAGATATCATATTTGTGGGATCAGGGCTCAAGGGAACTGTAGGTGTGAGTGGTTGGCATTGTTCAATGCTCCTAGCAGTATTCTGGAGGCTGATCACTTGTGGATGGGTGAAGATGAAGTGAATAATAATTTGAAGGCTCTTTTCGTGGTTTAAATAGTTTATCTCCTTCCTGCTTTCATGGTTCTCTAGAGTTTTTGACCTTTGGGTTGAGAGAATGAGGTTTGGGACCTCATCTGTTGAGTGCAGAAGGCTGAGGTGTGTGTACCCTCCATGAATGCTGAAACTGGCAGCCAAACAAAGACACTAGCTGTGCAAGAGCACTAGTGCTATAAACGCTTGAAGACTGTGTGGTTTTGACTGATGATAAATAATCTTTCCTTATACACAAGAAAAACAAATCCAGAACTATATTACGTAAACTTTGGTGCATCCTGTTCTTACAGAAAATTTCCCCCTCCCTGATCTGGTATCTGAGACTAGCACTGGTGTGGAAACCACAGCCAATAGTAGCACTTCCCTGAGGTAAGACCACTCTTATTTTCATTACTTTTCATTGGTTTCTCAGTGGACTATTTTTTGGTTGAAAAAGTGAAAGAGCTTTTCATATCACTGCAGATAAAATATAAATTAAAGAACATAAAATGTGCAGTTTTATCTGGGTCTGTGATGAGCCTCCCTCCTGACTGGCTCCCTTGTGAGGTGCTTAGTGCTGCATACACGCTTGTACCCTGGCTGCAGGCCTCTCCAGTCATGTGGGGACAGACATCATAGGCACAGCACAACTGACAGAGCTCTTCTGAGAGTCCAGAGCATGCCCGAGGATCCTGCTGCCTTAGCCATGAGGCATTTTAAAACTTTCTTTTAACACTTAAAGGGGTCATTTTCGTCTGTAGATTAATTGAAACAGTGCTTTCAAACTGATTCAACAGTGGGTTTTTTTTCCCTTAAGAGCTACCATTCCTGAGAAGGAAGTTCCTGTGATCTTCATCCATCCTTTAAACACTGGATTATTCAGGATAAAGCTACAAGGAGCAACTGGGAAATTCAACATGGTTATCCCACTGGTGGATGGAATGATAGTCAGTAGGAGAGCTCTTGGTAAGTTAAAAGGTTTTAGCAATGTCCATGGTTTTATTTTATTTTTTAAAAAAATAATAATATATCTGCAAAGTACATGGTCTGGAATCTTTCTTTGGAAGAAGTGTTAGGCAATGCTGAACAAATGCAAATTGTGCTCTTTGCAGCAGCAGTGGAAGCAGGAACAGCAGAGGGAGCAGGTGGGCAGCACTTGGCTGCCAGGATAGCAGAAGAAATCTTGGAGCTAGGAACAGGGCCTGTTTAAATAGGAGACATCCAAGATGTTACTCTGGTGTTTAGCACAGAGAGCTGAGGTGCCCCAGAGGGAGCTATGAAATTTGTTACTTTGCTGGCATGCTCTGTGTTCCTTCTGGTTTAGAAGCTAGACAGGGATTAAAGCCACAGCAACTGAGAATTTTCTTAATTGTTCAATAAAAATACAGTGCAAGCATGTGTTAACAGGTTCCATATGTGCCCTCTGCCTTTTTCTCTTTTCCTGGATGGATTCATGGACCTGTCCTGGTATTGGTGCTATTTAGCTTCAGTAACTGGAAAATCCCACCCAGGGGAAGTAGTACACAGGACAGAGTAAAATGAAGTGATGAACATTAGGATACCTGTGTATAACCATAAAGCTGCTGTTGGAGGTGACTCAGGTTCTAGGGTTCGTATGCTTAATTCAGTGATTGGCAAATTGAAGCCAGACCTGGGTCCTTAAATAACATTTATGAATTCAGCTGATGAGTGGTTTTTACTGAAAAACTATCAGGTATATTTTCCTAGTGTTGGGCTGTTTTTCTGCTGCATCAGAACTATTAATATAGTGAATTTTTTCTCATCTCTAAGTTCAGGAGGTGTAGTTTGTGTGCAGTGAGGTCCTCTAAATGTTTCTGTCTTTATGAAGGAGCTTGTGAAACAGCAGAGGGGTAAGGGATACTTGCTTCCTTACAGGCATAGAAATTTCCTTTCAGAATAAAATAAGAGAAAGTTAGCTGCCAGCTTTTGAGTGCCACTACTTCCATTCCCCACCTCCTCTTCCATCTGCATCCAGCAGTGTGAGTAGCAGAGGGGTGACAAAAGTGGCAGGGCCGTGAGGAAAAGAGAAATTTGTTTGCAGCCACAACCCATCAAGTCTTTGCTCATCTCCTTTCCAAGGGGAAGGTTCTGCAATTCCTACTGGAAAAAGGTACTGACAGGTATTTTTTTTCATTCTCAGGGCTTCTCTTGAATTCATGTTGTATGACCCCAGGGCCCACCTGAGGTCCAGATGTGTGGCATAGCTGGGGCTGTGGTAATGTGTGATTCTTGTATGGGCTGCCCTGGGTTTTGCCCTCCTGTCTGGAGGCTGCTGTTCCAGGCAGTTGCTTGGCTCTGGCAAAGCAGAGAATGCTCCTTCTGCAGCCAGTTTAGGGTACCACTGAGCGAGTCCCTTTCTTCATTCTTTACAGTGAAGGTCTTTTACAAGCTTGGGGACCATGGCTGTCTGTTATCAACTGTTCATGGAGAAAAGTTCTTGACTTGGTGGTGTTGAGCATCTCCCCTGGGTTTAGATGGATCAGAACCCAAAATTGGTTTTGGCTGAGAAGCTGGCAAAGGGGTGTAGGGCTGAATTTAAGCTTGATTCAAATATTGTTTCTTTTTCAGGTTTTTTAGTGAGACAGACAGTAATAAATATTTGTCGGAGGAAGAGGCTGGAAAGTGATTCATACAATCCCCCCCACGTGCGCCGAAAACAGAAAATAGCAGATATTGTCAATAAATACCGGAACAGGCAGCTGGAGCCAGAGTTTTATACCTCACTTTTCCAGGAGGTTGGGCTCAAGAACTGCAACCCTTAGGTTATTTCCAGGACAATTAGATCAGAGCTTGGTGGCTACACTAATGAAAGCAGTTAAATAACAACAACAGATCTTCTCAGCCCTCTGGAATTCAGGAAATCATGTTCTAGCACAAGTCAGCAGATACCATGTGGGAGGAATGAGAAATGAATCCGAAACATTGCAGTTGGGATACTGACTTGATTCACCTACCCTCAGAAGATTACTAAATTCCAGTCTTCCTGGATGCTAGCAAAATCATCTCTTCACCCAGTCATCCTTTCCAGACTAATTAGGAACTGTCTTGCTCTGAGGGGAAAACAATCAAAGTAAAGCCATCTCTGCATATGAAGATGGAAATAAGAATACAAACAAACCTGTCATTAGACACCTTGTAGCACTCATGTGTCCAAGGGCAAGGGAGCAGGATCTTTCCTTGGAGGAGTCTGTCCCAGAGCAGTAACTTTTCCTGTAAGAACTTCAAAGACATTTTCAGTCCCCCTTCAGTGTTCAACAGAAGATCCTTCACTGGGTATAACCCATCTGTGTACCAGAAGCAAGATGAGGAAGATTGCTTGGAAAGAGCAGGCTCTGAAATCCAAAGCCCAGATGTGTGTGTGACCACTCCCTCCAGGGCTCCAAGCCAGTCCATCTGCATCGAGACAACCACCACCACTTGAAATTATCTGACTTTCCAAAAGGAGTTAATTATTGGATAAGAGCTTTTGGTTATATAAAAGCGAGGTTATGGCTTTCAAGTCTGTTGCAAAATGTCCCATTTAATTTCAGTAGCTTGATTGTTATTTTTAATTTTTTTTTTAATGCAACTATTTAATTTATTTTGAAGCATCGGTATCACCTACTTACCATTTCCATAAAAAGCATAAACATCACTTGCTTTCCTTGCATTGGATTGAAAGCTGAGATTTTGGGGCTGCCTCCTCCATGTTATTTATAGCGTGAGCAGTTTTTGCAGCTTCTACAACACTCTTCAGAAGCTCCTGTTAAACAGACTAAACATCTCAAAAAGAAAATTCACTAATTCTTCTTTTCCCCATTAATTTCAATGCCAAGAAAGCCCCTTTGGAGTTACAGCTTCACATTGTTTTGAATCTCCTGTATGTTCACACATTCAGCAGCAGCATTTCCCTTCCACCTAGGTCAGGAGTTTTCATTTTCAGCCTGTGGCTTTGATGTTTTCAGGACTCAAAGGATGTGCTGGGAAAAGGTGTTTACAGCTACAAGTGTGGTATTGGGATCCCAGTAGTGTGGTGGGCCCTGGGAGCACCTCTGGCTCCTGGCACATCTCAGCTGCTCTTGCAGCACTGAATTGTGGCTGACACTCCTGGAGAGGTGCAGCCTGACAGCAGCAGGGATCCTGATCCTTCCAGCACTGGGTGCTGGAAGAGGATGAGTGAACAGGGATTTGGGGAGCTCTTTATATTCTTTCCAAGGTGGTTTTAATAAGCTGTGCTGTGCATTACAATAATACCTGTCAGGCATTGAATTTTGATATTTCAGAGTTATTTTCTGCAACAGTTCTGACCTGAAGCAGTCTTAATTGTTTCATGACAACTTATCTGCAAAGGACAGACCTTGCTCTTGGCTTTCCATGTGGTTTTTCACAAAGAGTTAATGGAAACACAGGCCCCTAAAAATACATGTGAAAGGATTTTGAGGTGGTCAACTGAGGTAATGTGTGCTTGTTGCAGGGAACAAGTGCACTGACTTCTCGATTCAGGAGCTCTTGGAATTTGATCCAGATGGATAAAAACTGAAAAAATTAAACCACCCCAAGAAAACTCCTCTAGCAGGATGTGTGCTGGCTGGCCCATACCTGTGTGCTGGCTGGTGGCACATGGCAGGAGGAGCTCCAGGGCAGCATTTGGGTGCATTGGCCAAACTGTGCAGGGAACTTGGACAGCCTCATTCCTCTGCCAAACTCTTGCCAGGAGCAATTGAATGCACAGATGCTAAATTTACCCACGCTGTATGTACCTCTTGGACCAAAAACACTTGAGCCCACTGGTTTAAAAGGCATGAGCAATGCATGTGTAACCAATAAATATCCTGAGCACTCCCTGTGTCTGCACACTGATAGTGTAACAGCAACCCCCCCTACCATGGCTGAGTGTTCCACAGTCCTGGCAGATGCAGCACAGCTGTACCAGGTGCTGCTGTCAGGCAGGAAGGAGCAGTCACAAATGCAGAGATGGGTGTTGGGGCAAACCCTGAGTTGTTTATGGCAGGGATAAGCAATTGGACTGCCTGAAGATTTACTTTCTTTAGAAAGACCTGTGCTTGGCTGAAGCGTTGTTTTGGGTCTATTTCCATGTTCACCTAAAGCCACCCATGGGAGCAGTAACAGCTATGAGGGCCATAGGATTTGGCAGGAGTCTGGCAAGAAGAGAACTTGGGCATATTGTGACCTCTCCCAATGTCAGGAGATGGATGTTTAGAACATGTGTCAGTTGAGTTATAGAACCAGCTCGTGAGCAGGTAACACATGCTGTGACCTGGCTGTAGGTGATTGCCTCTCTGGAAAGATGAGCCTTCAGGAAAGTAACAATTCGTTATAAAAATGTTGTGATGCAGAACTATGCTGCCATCCCTCATGGCTTGGGTGCTGGTCACAGCTGTGGGCACCCTGGGCAGACTGGGCCAGTGCAAGGTGCCTGCAAGCACTGTCCCTCCTTCCTATGGAGGTCTCAAGCTTCATAACAAAATGCACCCCACCAGTCTGGGAATTGTATCCATCTCCTCTCTGCTGGCTTTAGCTAGTCCAGGGTACTACCTTGAGAGCTTTTCCCCTGAAGGGTCAGAGCAAATGAGGTTTATTTCCATGGTGATTACAAGAGTTAGCCAAGAATCCAGATTTTTTTAATACCACAAACTGCTGCATAAAATTTCTGACTTGATGCTTGAGTGGCTTGGGTCAGCATCCCTGTCCGTCAGAGGGGATGAGCACTGACACCCCCCAACCTGCAAGTGTTCCACAGTAATTAAACTGAGACTCTTCCTTTTCATCAGATCTTTCAGTTTGGGTTCATAATTCTGTTTCAACAGCAGGAGGTGATAACTGTCACATCGTTAAACACAGTGTTGAAATTGCATTTTGGTACCTTAATAGAGACTTTTAAAGGAAAAGCTGTTCTTTTAAAGGTACTTCTAGAAAGGCATTAGAACCTTACAGCAAGCAGGAGAGGGGGAGGACAGTGCCTGTGGAAATGGGTGCAAGTGTGCAGGGCCTGGCTGCCCCTGTGCTGTACCTGCTGGGTTCTCCATAGGTCATAATGTTTCTTTTCACAAGGCTCTGTGTGCCCAGGAAGAGGAGAGAACTAAATTTCAGCCTCAGAGACAAATGTGATGCATTTTTGTGATTGTGTAATTGAGTGATACCTTTGAAGGCAAACACAGTCCTTTTCCCCATGGATTTAGCAGGAGCAATTAGAAGTGAGGACGCCAGATATCATGTGCTTCAATCATAGACAATTTGTATGAATTCCTCTATGTTGCCAAGACATGAACGTTCTGTTCTTATTGTATTTTTCTGTAAATATTCCTGGCACTAAGTTGTAAAGTAAAGGTAAAATGTAAATATGAAGATGTGAAGTATGTTCTGTTGTCTCTAGTACTTTATCTCTTATTTGTTTAGGGAAGGCACAGAAAGGCTTGTTTGTATTTATGCCAATTCTTTGTCCAGGAGAAACACATCAAATATTGAATGTAACACAATTAGTCCAATAAATTTTAAAGATTCTTATCTAGTAACTTTGCACTGGTCAATTTTTAGTATTTTCCAAAACCTTGGTAGAAATTCTCCAATGGAGATGTTTCCCAGGACAACAGCAGACAGAGGCAGCAGAATTGCACACCCTCTTCACCTCAGTAGCTCTGGGACCAGTGAGGCTCATAGGTAAGGAAATCATGTTGTATCTCAATAGTCTGGGGAGTGAAAACATGAAAGACTGGCTTTTGAAGGGAGCTTAATGCTCCTGCAATGCCAGTGTTCTCCCATCTCTCCATGTGCTGCTTCCCATCTTAGCTGTGGGTCCCCAGTGGTGCAACCACTCTGGGCACCCACCCAGGACAGGGAGAAGCTGAATGCTTCAGGTACAGAGTCCTGGGAGGGTGAGGGCTCTGCTGGATGGGCAGAGAGGGGAGAAAGGATAGGATTCCACAGCTTTGGATTTGGAGAGGAGCTGGGCAGCAGTGGGGCCCTGTGTCCCATGAGGGTGATACAGCCAGAGAGCCCTGGGAAACTGGACTGGGCTAGAGAGGGTTTTCAGTGCCATCCTCACAGATGTCTGAGCTCCTTAAGGAAGGGAGGAGTTGTCGGGGCTGCAGGACCTGTGTGTGTCTGTGCTTACTGCAGTGCAGGGGCTGCTTCTCTGGTAGGGGCCCTGTGCTGTCCCTGGGATTTCACCTTTGCAGCAGCTCTGGTGCTTTGCCCAAGCTTCCTCACCTGAGGACTGGAACAAAAGCACTGGAGTGACTGGTCCAGAAACCTGAAGCTGGGATATGTGAACATCTGTTTTCCTGCTGGCTTCATCTTCAGTAATGTCAGCTGGTACTATCCACCCAAGCTCCTCACCACAATTCTTCAGGGAAGGTTAGGGCAGATCCCACATTGATCTCTGAAGAATCACAAACATGAGTGGTAAACAGTTGAATATCTTCCTCTGCAGTCTCAAAGTGCAGGGCCAGGGGCCAGAAGGGCATTCTGGTGCTGGTTTGGAGCCTGATGCTTTCTTCTTTCCTGCTGCAAAGGGATCAATACTCTCAGCAGTTTGGGAGGCTGGAAATCTCACCTACGACTTTGGATTGGAAGTGGGTATCCATTAGCCAAGTCTTGGAACGGCGGGGAACAACCTGCGAGGAACTAAAAGGCAGCTTCAGTGGCCTCCAGGTCCTCAGGGCAGGATGACCCAGCTGGGAGCAGCTCCTTGGTTTCTGGAAGGTTCCCCATGCCTCACAGGTGCTCTATTCCATGTGAGTGGAGTGACCGGGCACCACCAGGTGATTGAGCAAGAACAGGAATAATAAATCCTGGGATGAGGCAGGAGTGGCTGCAGTGTGAAGCAGTCAGGCCTGTGCCCTCTGCCACAGCCAGAAATGAGAATTAACTTCTAATTTGTTGTTAATGAAGGGGAGCTGCTCCATGGGGCACACATCAGCTGGCAGCACCCCCTGTCAAGCAGAGGAGGTGGTGGCAGGCTTGCCACAGGATTGTAGAGGAGATGACTCCTCCCCCGTGCCCTCCATTTTCATCTGCTATTCCTATAAACTTCCAGAGGAGTCAGAAACACGGCACACCAACACTGTTCTCATTGTAGCGTGGCTGGTTTTGACCACAACTGAAGCCAAATTGCAGTACAGATAATTGTCCAGAGTGAAATGTAATTTAGTTATTGCTTTAAACTGAGAAAATGTTTGGCTGCCTGCCTTGAACAAATGTCTCTCAGGAGTGAGGAAGTGGCTGAAGGTGAAACTGGGCTGAGCCATGGCTGCTGCCATCCCCCAGCACACTTGCTGCAGTGATGAGTGCTGGCAGGGTGTGTTCCTGGACCATGTCAGTGCCCCCAGTGTCCCTGGCCCACATCAGTGCTGCTGGGATGTCGCTGGTGACACTGGGCTGCCCCATGGCCACACTGGCTGTGTACCCCAGGGATCTGGGGGCCACTGTGCATCCCAGGGTGTGAGTCAGGTCATCTCTGTAGACAACATCACATGGAGGAGGCAGTATGTTGCTGTGGCAACCAGGAGCATCCCAGGGGCCTCAGCCTTGGCTTTTGGCTTTTCATGTTGCTTTGGGGATCCCCCTCATGCCGAGCAGGCAGCCCTCTGGAAGCTGTGGGCAGCACCCAGGGCACAGCAGCAGCCATGGGAATTGGGTGGAGGTTCACCTGGGTGCAGGTGAGGTTTAAACCTGTTTTCTTCTTCCTGTAAGAGCAATGAGATTTTCTTCTTTTTTATATTTATTTTTATAGATTATAATTAACATTAATAAACAATAGATTTATTCTGTTTCTACTGTACCAAAAGCAACCGCCCTACACACAGGACCCAGCTGTGCCTGGCATCTTAGCAGAGTGTGACGAGAAGGGTGACACACTGCAGCTCTGGGCTCACACCAGGGATCCTTACAAAGGTGCTACTGGAAAAGCAGAGATGGGCCAGTCCATTGCTGGCTGTCCCGAGTTGGTCCCAGTGGAACAGGAAGATCCACAGCCATTGGCACCCCCACTTTTACCCCCAAAAGCAGCCTGTTTCCCCAGGGCTGGCAAAGCCTCCTCTCACCAGGGCAGAGCCCATGCAGAGCAGGGGTGTCCCAGGAGGGACGGGGGTGTGGGGCCAACATGTGGGGCTGGTGGTCAGTGTCACAGTGGTCCTGGGCTCCCTTCCATCATGTCTCAGCCCTGTCCCCCCTCTGAGGTTTGAATTCCCCAGTGCAGGCCACCCTGGGGGATTCCACCAGGAGCTGCTGTCTGTGCCCTTCTGCCAGGGGTCCCTCAGCCTCCCCCAGCCACCCTGCAGACCCCGGTGAGCCATGGGGGTCTCTGCCCAGTCCTAGCACCCAGTCCAGGGCAAGGGTGCTCTGCTGGGACTCCCCTGGCTGGGACCCTCCTGCCCGGGCCCTGAGGTGCTGCTGGCACAGGCTGAGGGCAGGGAGAGCCAGGGGGGCCCAGGGCAGACCCTCCATGGTCCATCCCTACAGAGGCATCCCCCAGCCAGCACTGGGCTACATGTTCCTCCAGGCAGGGCTGAGGGCCCAGTGCCCTCCTGCTCCCACAGCAACCCCTAAAAAGCTCATTTGATGACATTATTAAATGATTCAGTGCATTTTCTGCCTCTTAAAGTACTTAATATATGTGCCTGTGTGATTCATTATTATTATTATTATCTAATAAAAGATTATCTGACTCACTTTAATGTTTCTTCCAATTACAAATTGAAATTGTTCCCACTCTGACCTTGCAGCTGCTGGATTTTCTAAAATTAGCCATAATGATGCATTTTACTAAGATAATTAATTAGCTAAACTGAGAAAATTGAGTAGTAGAACTATTTCACATGCTGCTAATTATCTTTTATTATGTCATCTTTACATGCAAATAAAGAAATATTGTGATTATTTTAAATACTGTTTTCATTAGCTAATTCACTCATTAGTGCAGCGACAGCTCTGTCTTCCCCAGCAGCAGGAGTCTGTAGGGACTTACTGCTGATCGACTGGAAGAATCTGCCTTTCAGGTTGAGAAAATAGAATTACAGTCCAAATTAGGTTTATTTTATCAATTTATTTTAATGGTGTGCAAGGGGAGGGGAGCGGGAGGGGTCAGGGATGGTGGGAGAGCCAGGAGCACCAAGGAACTCCTGCTGAATATTTTGGGGGCTCAGGTTGGGGTGGGGGGGGTGAGTAGGGGTGCTGCCCCCTCCAGACTCCTCTTCCCTAGGGGTCTCCTTGTTCAGGATGTGTCCTGTGATCCCAAGCTCTGTTCCAGCCATCCAGAGCATCCAGAGCTGCTCCTGACAACTTGTGGGAGTCTGGGAGCAGTTAGGTGAGCATCATTCATGGTGCCATGCAGAAACCCTTCCTGTCAGATACTGGCTATGCAGCCACGGGGGCTCTGGGGCAGCAGCACTGGTGCAGAGGGAGCCCTGGAACCTCCTGCTTCTTCCATCAGAGATTTCCTGCTCCAAGAGCCAAGGGGTGAGTGGGAGATGGGGGGATGCTGAGAGCTCCCCATTGCTCCCTGAGGGCTGCAAGCCATACTCATCTGGGTATTGGTCACAGACAGGAACTGCTGTATTTGGGGAGCCCAGGCCACACTCACCCACCTGCCAAGAGCTCCTGGATCTTCCCAGCTTCCCACTGGCTCCTGGGCAGTGGACGTTGGGGGTTTGATGTTCCCAGCTTGGCTCTGGCACACAGGTCCCTTCCCTGGCACAGGCACGATGGGCAGGGGATGGATTTTGCTCCCTCCAGCCTTTTGCTCATAAATACCAGATGTATTTATTCCAGTGGGGAATTCGGGGTGTAAGGAGGGGCCACCCTCCAGGCAGCTGGCTTTTCATGGCCCTGTAAGATCCCAGAGGTACAAACAGGGATGAGGACCAGCCACAGGGACACTTCTGGCTCACTGGTGCAGATGAGGCTCCTGCTGGAGATGGAGTGGAGGTGTCATTGCAAGGTGCCATGGCAGTCACTGGGCAGTCACAGCCCACTTCTGTGTCAGCCCTGGCACGGCACTGCCTGCAGGGATGGAGAGAGAGCATGGAGCCAGCAGTGCCTGCTGCAGGATGGGATGGGGCAGCAGGGGCCCTGGGGGCAGTGGGACGGAGGAGCAGGGCTGGGATGCAGCAGGAACTGCTCACCTGGCACAGCTGTCACATCCCGGGCAGGAGCTCCCAGCAGTGAGGGCACAGCCTGGAGCCTCCTGGAGACTGGAGCACCGGTGTGTGCCAAGGCAGAGGGAGCAGCTCAGCCCCAACATGGCTGCCTGCCCAGGAGTCCACTGAGCCCTGTCCTTGCAGCAGAGCTACTCCAAAATCTCTAAGCCCAAAATCTGTGCCTTTGAGGACACTCCTGCAGTGGCAACAGGCTCCATCCTGGGAGATGTGCAGCCCACTGCAACTGCACCAGTGACCTTGCTTTGGGCAAGAACTGGAACTAAGCACCTCCTGAGCCTTCAAGGACCTCATCACCCCATCATCCCATAATCCTGAGTCCCTGCGTGTGGAGGCCCTGGAGCCTATCCAAGAG